GGTAATTTGAAGGCCAGTCTTTAATGGTTTAGCTAGAGTGTTATATAGTCCAAAAATATGTCACCCCGCTCGGTTGCGTGGCCATCTAACTGTTCTATTTTCTGACTGGAAAAAATCTTGAATTCTGCCTAAAAAAAAGACAAAAATAAGTTTTTCACATTCCAGCATGTAATTGCTTTAATCATGTATAGTTTCTTTGTCAAATACCGTAGCGATATATTTAAAACCGATTTTTTTTTATGCATTTGGCAGAAAAGACTACATGCTTTTCAATCATTGTATCCCTTAGCAAGAAATTTAAATGTTTTATATCAGTTAATAACTAGTTTTAAGGGCGTATGGCTCTATTCTTTTAACTTTGAAATAGACGAAAATGGTTCTAAAAGCAGTGATTTATATTCCATTTTTGAAAAGAAATATTATTGTAATTTCTAATCAATTATGTTCGGTGAAATACGCGAACAGTTCAAAATAAACGGCAATCATGTATGCCTGCTTAGTCCATCCTACACGCTTGCTTATAATTATTTTGTTGTTTGTGAATCAGCCTTTACTAATTACTTTCACATTGTCTTGTAGGATATATTTTTATTTGTTCATTACAAAATGACATCCGAAACTATATAATACATGATTCGTGTAGTGATTATAAAATGTTAATTGTGTCTTAAATATTGGATATTTGGATTCTATATTTGCACGGCTAGATAACCTATCAATATTAATTGAAACTGACCAATATATTGAATTCTAATTCATGTTTTTAATTTTGAATGAAAAATACTGAGTTAGGGAAAAGGTAGGGAAAAGTATACCTTATGCATATTTATCTTATGCCGTACATGGGATGGAATATGATTACGCTTCCCAGAACTAGAAAACTGGACGTCATTTTATAATTTGTTTGAGACATTTACATAGTTATTACAACAAGCAATGCTGTGCCATATATCTCCTTAAATGTGGGGGTGGGCGAATGGTTAGCACGCGCGCGCTGTATCACGAGGCCTGTCAACTGGCGTGGTTTCGAATCCCGGTTGTACGTGACAAGGAGTAGGGTTGCCCGCCAACCTCGTGGGTTTTCTCCGGGTCCTCCAGTTTCCTCCCACTGCTAAAGACCCCTATGCGCAAGCGAATTATTGAAATAAAATTAAAACCATGTTAGTCCCGAAATGACCTAGTCTGTGTCGAGTGGACGTTAAACCCCATTTCTCTCTCTCTCTCTCTCTCTCTCTCTCCCCCCTTAAATATAGTGAAGGGTGTCGTGCTAAAGGTGAATTTAATTTTTGACACATTTCTCTCTAATTTAATAACACACTAAAAGTGTTAGCCACCAGACTTTCTGGTGTAAACTAGAAGTGGAATCAGGTGTTCTAGCCAATTTGTTTAAATATAGTAGTATAATAGACATAGTTAATCGTGTTACCTTGTGCCATTAGGTGGTTTATAAGGAGGACACATACTTAGTTTTATTCCGTCATATTCAAGCTATGAGCATATCTATCAAACAGTATTATTTAAGCATGTCTACGCACCCATCCGTTTTATTTATAGAACATATTAAACTTAACGAATTGCTTGAAGTCAAATTTATTTTGGACATTTTAGCTCAGTAGCCTAACTTTGCTCGCCTCGGGGTGGATCAAAACGTAATGAATGTGCTGGAAACGCTATTAAATATGAACGTACACGACCCGATACAGGTGCACCAGTTTATTCGATTTTTATTCAATCCATAACGAGCATAGCCCCAGGCCTTAAGATATTACGATAAGCATGAATTAATAATCCATTCATATCTAACCACAACAGTATACGGAAAATGTCTTAGCTATGTGAACTCTTAAATAAATGAGAAACATATACCAAAGAAACATAAAAATGTTTATAATATATGTGGTATGAGGTGTTCAATAAAGTGAATAAGCATGATGACATCAATGATAAGCCATCTCTTTTTCACATATCTAAAATCAGAGTAGGGAACAAGGTGCGACTCTGTATTAAGTCGAAGTTAATTAAAACTGAATTATGATTTTTCACATATCTAAAATCAGAGTAGGGAACAAGGTGCGACTGTATTAAGTCGAAGTTAATTAAAACTGAATTATGAAAAACATAAAAATTAGATCATGCACTTCAAATATGATACGGTGATTTATTATCTAGCTAAATACGAGCAATTTATTTTTAGAGATTAAAGACTAAGTTGAGGAAAAGACATTTGTTTTTTAAAGAGGCCGTGATATTAAAGAGTCAAGAACGACAGATTAATTCGGTTTGTTAAGCCATCACATTGCATACGTCAACATCGATATACAATAACCATGTTAGTTGCAAATCACCTAAATAACATAGGCGAAGCGTAAACGCCATAAAGCTTTCCCCAACTCAAAGTAAAAATATGTGAATTTCCCCAACAACGACATATTTAGGGCACTGTACAAGAATGGGAACGAATACCCTGGATGATGTACCAAACTCGTCAATATTTACAGCTAGTGGTATAATATAATTTCAAATTATATTAAAAGGTATTTTCGATCAAGTGTACGAACAAGTCAACCAATGCAGTACCAATGGTGTGACACAATACATTAACATGCAGGTGATAAAACAAAGCAGGTTTACAGGTGCAGCAATTAAATTGCTTGTCGTAATATTTGACTGAAATTCAAACACTTCTAGTTCCACAACATGGTAGGGAACATCTTCAAATTGTTAACTTAAACTTGTTAAACTCTCTGTAGTAGCAAACTGACAAATATCAGGTAGACTCGAATTACATCAAAATACGGATGATATAACTCGATGACATCACTTACACACTTATTTATATTTGCTACGTGTACATGCGCAACAAGTACATATTCGTCAGGGGTTGACCCCATGGTGAGAAAAATTGTGATCAAGGCGATCCAAAGACCCAAAGTAAGTGTCTTTTTGGTAAGCAAATTTGTAAGTCACTTTCGTTCTAAGGACAATATTACATTGGGCTAAATCATCATACTTTATCATTTCTCATGATAACGGTCTTGGCAACTATAAAGCCCCTTTTGTTTTGATAAATCTTGATGTTAAAGTGACATGTCATTAAGGTTTACAGTGCCGCAAACATTGTAAAGCAACAGCCAATGGCTCAAGGCTATCCCCCGACCTATTTACAACAAGACATGGTCGATTTGACTGAGAGATCGCTACGTGAAATATGGTGATTTTGTTTTACCTCATGCCACGTATAATAATATAAGAACGTATACACAAGACAAAGGATGTGTGTGCCAATATCTCAAGGGATGACATCGGTGCGGGTTAATTTGCTCACAAAATTAACTATTAGCCTTCTGCAAACTAAATTCTAGAACATTTTGTTAAATATAAAAACAATAGATAAAGGTGTTTGAAGTTTTATCTGGATTAAAAATATTTCCTACTTGGTGTAAATTGGTATATAAAATGGGTAAAGGCACAATTCTGTCCGGACCAGTTTACGCTACGGCGTCTTATGTAAACAATACCCGCGCCATCCAGCAAATAATCGACGATGTGTGATGTGACGTCACGTGTAGAAGGCATACTTGAACTTATAAAGGTCAGTCATCTTATACAGAGGTATAAGAAGGGTTTCGTAATACCCCTGTGAAACAGATTGTTTTGGGGGCTGTAATGCAGCCCTAAAGAGCATGCACAATTTGTGTGTGGTTATTCCAGCACTCGTCTTTTCAAACTCAATGGACGTTGTGCATTTAAATCAACAAGACGGATAATCCATGGATAGAGCAGAGTTTACTCTATCGGTGTATGGTAACTTCAACAATTGCCATTACAATTTAAATGGATATTCTAAATACAAAAGATCAATTGGGGAAAGGAGCATAGCCTGCTTGTGCGTGATAATACTGACACTCGCCACTTTATACTCAATGGACATTATTATATTAGGTATAATCATAAGTTGTTCGGAGTCTTAAAATCAATAAGGAAATAATCTAACTAATTTGCGTTTTGACAGTGAACTGATTATACAAGTTTTAAAAGACAGTTTAAAATATCAAGTCGTTGACATATGGTTGTGTGCTTAATTGCATGTTCATCTCGTCATGTGTTGCTATTAACTTTCTGGCGTACAACTCATCGGTGATTATTATTTATAAACAGTCTGGATTCTGTCGCCCTGAAAAAAGTCATAGTGTATGAGAAAACCAAAATAGCAGTAGAAAATTATCTGTGGAAAAGACAGTTTGCTTAATAGAATTCTCGTCTCATTGACATACTATTCTAGATTTGGAAGAAATTGTTGACTGAAAAGGAATTCGTATCTGACAGTAAATTTCTAATGCCTGGTATTCAATTAAGGCGACTTCATTGATTTAAAAATAATAGAAATCAATGCTGCTCTCCTTGAAAATGCCATAATATGAGACAAAATAACCGGACAAATTAATAGCTGTGGAAGATACTGTTTGCTTAATTGGGATTATCCTCTCAAACTGAGTAACTCTATCTGGTTTACCATAAGATTAGTGGTTTAAAAATCTATTCCAAGTCTGTGTGTTGCCTGTCATTGAAAATGCATGCACTGATATACGAAATGTTGCACAATTGTAGCTGTGATCTTCAGTCCGAGGGAAAACTTATCCATTTTTTTTTATCTATCAAATCAGAATCCGACATCTTCTTGGAAACTTTAACAATGTGTGAGATGCTTTTACGTATTTTCCATCGGTATATTTCTGACTTTTTATCATTAGACAGAGATACCACTACAAATCTTTATAATGATATTTTGTAGATGTCAACGTCATCTATGGACATTACATGTATTATTTCATAAGAGCTAAGATTAAATGTGTAGATAGTGCTTGAAATCCATAAACATATCCTGTAGATCTTTAATACATTCCTGTAACAAATCTCAAGATTGAGCGTGAAATCCAGTACACTATTACGTTAAATTTCTACATTGGTTTGGACTTCCCCAAATCTCAGCAACCTCCACCATGACATCTCAGCTGAATTTAACCCACGAAGAACGTTTGCGTGATCTTAGTGATCAGAAAGCTATGACGCTGTTGCCTGCCATTTTGTTTGTTGGGATACTAATGGTGATGGGTTTGCTTGGCAATGGTCTGGTGTGTTTTATTTTCGCGAGACGGCTGAAAGCAGGAACTCAGAATATCATGATTTTGTGCTTAGCTGCTTCAGATTTGCTTATTTGTTCCATAGGAATGCCCACAGAGATAGCTGATATGCGCTTCCATTATACCTTTGAGTCTGAGTTTGCTTGCAAATTGTTCAGATTCGTCAATAGCCTGTGTTCTCTGTGGTCAATTCTAACACTAGTTGCCATAGCTGTAGATCGCTATATCAAAGTGTGTCGACCCTTTGGACGGCAAATGACCATTCGGGAGGCTAAAACGACAGTACTGATATCTTTGACGATAGCTATTCTGGTATCCTGGCCGACTATCTTTATTTATGGTACGCGTTCCGCAGATACCAAAATACTTGGGTTATTTGGGAAAGATTGTTCCACAAGTGATGCAATGAAAGGAACCAGTTATCCTTTAATCTTCAACTCCATTCTTTTTGTGGGCTTCGTTTCATTTACCATTGTGTTCATTGTACTATATGCTAAAATCTATAGGAAGGTGAAAAGACAAAAAGAGATCATGGACAAAGCTCGTACAACGGTAGCATTTACTGTGAAGTTCTCAACTCTAGAGACGGTCGGGACATCTGCAACTTCTACGCAATCGGATAAGCCAAACGAGATTTCCCCGACTACATCAATGCAAACTGATGATCCATGGATAAAGCCAAGTGCATCTTCGGGTAACTCGGGGGAAGTTAACAGAGATTCTGTCGAAAACCGGGCAGATCACCGCAATTCAGTTATAAGTGACGATGAACCTACTGACACTACTCTTATGGAAATGGACAGTCATGGAACGGCTGATCTCCGAAAAAGCATATCGTCCGTTCGTCCCAAAACCAATGACTTGCGTGGAGCTGATAGAGGCGCTAAGGGTAAACTTGGAGAAGAAAATCGCACAACTGTAATTGTTTTTCTGGTGACCATCGTGTTCGTGCTGAGTTATCTACCATATCTAGCGATGACTTTTTCCAGTATCTTCAACAAAGGGTTTGATCACCATCTCCGTGGATCTTCTCTTGCAGCTTATAACCTGTTCTTACGGTCCTATTTTGTGAACTCTGCCGTTAATCCAATTATTTATGGTTTTCTGAACCCACAGTTCAGTCGAGCAGTGGCGGCTATGTTCAAAAGTCCGACTTGTTGTAGACCAAGCAGAATTTATGATTGCAGTTAAAGTAAATATCGTTTTGGTGTGATGTTTTATTGTTGTAATAATGATTATTCTGATATTGTGAATATTTGTAAAAACAACCCAGATAATTTAAATGGAAGGTCGTCTGAATCAAAAGGTATACCATTCATCTTTTATTGGTGTGATATTTTATTGTTGTAATATGATGCTTCTTCTGACATTGTGAATATTTGTAAAAACAACCCAGATAATTGAAATGGGAGATTGGTTGAATCAAAAGGTATAACATTTATCTTCTATTGTTGTGAATTTCGGTCTATTAGTGTATTTCCCATAAGTTATTCGAATTATAAAAGGACTTTAACACTAATTTAACAAATGACTTAAATTATAAATTATATGATTACCAGGGCAATCATATGGTGACTAACAGAGATCACATCTACCGTGTAAAACATGTGGTCGCTGACAGAGGCCATGGTGGGAACTATGTACATGTAACATGACCAATATTACTACTGGTAGTGGGGCAATCTTCGTCCTATCCCAATCAGACATTATCATTTGCTATATTCCACAAGGTGTGTTTATTTTTTCTAGAACCCCCGAAATTGCTTAACTATTGGGTATTTTCATATTGGCATATATCTATCTGATTGTACCTTAGGATCTACTGCATTGGCCTACCATGCTTCTTCTGACATTGTGAATATTTGTAAAAACAACCCAGATAATTGAAATGGGAGATTGGTTGAATCAAAAGGTATAACATTTATCTTCTATTGTTGTGAATTTCGGTCTATTAGTGTATTTCCCATAAGTTATTCGAATTATAAAAGGACTTTAACACTAATTTAACAAATGACTTAAATTATAAATTATATGATTACCAGGGCAATCATATGGTGACTAACAGAGATCACATCTACCGTGTAAAACATGTGGTCGCTGACAGAGGCCATGGTGGGAACTATGTACATGTAACATGACCAATATTACTACTGGTAGTGGGGCAATCTTCGTCCTATCCCAATCAGACATTATCATTTGCTATATTCCACAAGGTGTGTTTATTTTTTCTAGAACCCCCGAAATTGCTTAACTATTGGGTATTTTCATATTGGCATATATCTATCTGATTGTACCTTAGGATCTACTGCATTGGCCTACCATACTTTACATTATAACCAATATGTTGCTTTTGGATTCATTTACTAAAGCATAGGTAGAATTGTGTTCCGGGTGACGATTGGCATATCAAGAGAGAGAGAGAGGAAGAGAGAGATGGGGGTTAACGTCCACTCGACACAAACTAGGTTATTTCGGGACTAACATTTGGTTCAATTTTATTTCAATAATTCTCTTGCGCGTAGGGGTCTTTTATCAGTGGGAGGAAACCGGAGGACCCAGAAAAAAACCCACAAGGTTGGAAGACGACCCTACTCCTTGTCACGTAGAACCGGGGAATCGAAACCACGCCAGTTGACTCAATGACAAACCTTATGATGTAGCGCGCACGCGCTAACCATTCGACCATCCACTCCCCTGGAACCTTGAAAGACGGACTAATTAAAAATATACACTAATTTATTTAGGTTTACTCTGCCGTATCTAACTTTAAAGACATTTTGTAATTGATCGACCCCAGATCAACATACCAATCAAAACCCCTTATATTGCAAATTCAGCAAAATCTTTTGAAAATCTTGGGTGATCACATTTGATAGGATGTCTAGTCAAGGTCGAGATTATTCTTATGCTGTCGTCAACGCACAGAATGCGCTTTACAGAGTCATAAACTGAATAAACAGAACTAAAATGACATAATAATATAGATTATTAGCGGTTATACGCTCCACCTGCGTTCAACATGGTGAATTGATATTGTCACCTTGAATTTATCAAACAGACATTCAGACAGTCGATTTATGTTATTGGTATCTACAAATAATAAGGATGCGTCAACCTATTTTCATGTAATGTAATTGATTAACGATTTTGTTATGTAGAAGCATTATTTCTAAATGTATATGAAGTCAGTAGATATAAATAAATACAAAACTATGCATGATAGAACATGTAAATTGTGCAGTTGATTACTGATATGGAAATTTTAAAGAGCATTTTAATGTCCCCTTATCATGAAACATGTCATGCTGTGAAATTTATAGTGTTGTTTTGCTGTGTTTTATTAGGAGTCAATGGGACTGCCCTGTATCAAGTATCCTTCTAAAAATAAAATATTTTTTTAATATCAGAACATATCAAAAATAACAATAGTACTCAAAAAAAACCAAACAATAAACACGAGGGTGTTATTCACGAATATTGGAATCTCTTAAAGAGATGTTCCCATGAGCATAATTAGGTAATTTCTATGTGCCGGTGGACACACACTCGTGCAAGGGCAGAAAGACCATAAAATACACTAAAATATATTATCAAAGTTGGGGATCGGGTCGGAGGTTCTGTGGCACGAATACCGACCATACCGACGTACACAAAATATATTAAATATGTATGGGTCCCTTGGGATTTCATGGGTCCAGGGGCAATGTAGCCGCTGCACCCCCTCTCATTGGGCTTGGTCATGCGTAGACAGTCTAAGTGAGTCTTGGTGGTTCAGTGAGTATGGCCAATAAATTTTCCCGGGAGTTTTCCCTTGTCAGTGCTGCACGGCGGGGGGGGGGGGGGCGGCGAGAACAGCGCACAACACCGGCAATTTGTTCGGGTGTGTGACTGACTTGTATACTGTAATTCTAAAGCCTTGTGATTTGTTTGACGGGCCCTTTTCTTCTGTAAATTGGAGTTGATTCCTTGTGTCTATTATGTCTATTAGCGGGGCAATGAACTAATATGGAAGTCTGCTTCGCTTGTTGTCAATTTATGGTTGCATTTTGTTAAAACTTTATGTCTGAAGAATAATTACAGTTCTCTTAGATTCAGCACGGTTTGATTGAACCGAACATAGCTATTTTTAGCGCCATGGGTCACGTGGAGGGTGGGACGAAAACCGAGTTCCCGTGTACACGTTGACATGCATATAAGGAACAATTGATTGTTGGAATAAGAGTAAGCTATAGCGCCGCTATTCTGGCAAAAATGTGTTAGACACTCTAAAGGAGCCGCGGTGGCTCAGTGTGTAAGACGCTAAGTCACTAACCTGGTCGACAAATTTCACGGGATTTTCCAACGTGGTTTTCCCTTGCCAGTGATGCAGAAAGGAAGTCCTGGCGAGGACAATGGCTAGCCGTTCGGATGGTAAGAAACACCGAGGTCCCGTGTGCAGTTTATAACGAACACCTGTCTTCATTATCCCAGTCGCAGCAGAACAATAGGACATTAAACCCCATTTCATTTCACTAGACACTTAAAATGTATTTTTATCTGCAATCAAGATAATAACCAGGAAGGTCATATTGTCTAGTAAGCCCACAATAGATAAATTAATGACCGTCGAGTCTTACTTACTTTTGATGCTTAATTATATCTATTTGAAGTACTCTAATAGACTAACCTGTAATTAGGCGTTTATACAACAGTCCATTTAGCACCTGACCTGGAAGTAATTTTTATTTATTGAAGCATTTATCTACCTTATAATATATTGTAAGTATGATAAGACTAGACTTGATGTCACGTTCGTTCGTTTGTAGACTTTTACGTCCGACAAATGATGTCTTCTTCTAGTAGAGAATTTAGGTCCGACAATTGATGTCTTCTTCTAGTAGGGGTTTTACGTCCGCTTTCACCTTGGGTGATATCGCAGACAAATTTGGTGTCTAAGTTGAAATGCCTCATAATAGAACAAGTGATTTGTGGTCAGCCTTTGATGGGAAGTGAACGCCAATGAGACAGTTTAGGGAGAAATCCTTGCTCTGCTGAACACGCTTTGAACTGTACTGTTAAACCAGTAACCATGATCTCACGTGCGAATGATTGATTAGCCAACATCAAGTGGACAAGCAAATATTAAATCATTAGGAAGATTCATAGAAGAACTTAATCTCAGTCATATATTTTTGTGCTTATCTGTAAATCTTTAAAAACAAGATTCTATTAGAGTTGATATCAAATTGTTTAGAGAGACGTTAAACGTCTGCTTACATCCAAATCAAATTTCGTGTCACAACCCTTTTAACAGGTCGGATTAGCAATCAAGATCTTACCAGTGAAGTGCTAACCCCATGTTGTTTTATACAATTGAAATAGCCAAAACAGGTGGTCACAATGGGAAGCATTCAGTGTAAATAAATGGAGCTTATTGCAATGTGAATAAGACGACCAAACCCTATGTAAAGACCACAGTGTAATTAATTACCCCGGGGCTGCTAATAGTGATCGAGTGACTACGCTTGTTTTTAATTAAGCTTCATGTTTAGAAATCTCTCCAACCTAGGTTTTGTTTACGAATTCTTAATTTTTGTTGTCAGTGGGGAACACCTGACACGCCTACACTCGCGAACAGTTAATCCATGACAGTTTAGCTGATGAGAATATGCGATCCCTAACGAGTTGGCTGAACTTATGCAGTAAATAGATGTACGAAACTATCGCTGGGAAACTAAATGACAGCTGTATATTTATTTTTGTGCAGGTACAGTGTTTCAAATTATATACATAGAGGCTCATTCGTACTACGGCCTAACAAATCGTTCCAATTATGGAATGCTGCAGAAACCAGGAGGAGCTACCCACCGTCTGGATATGATCAAGGTGCTTCCAAAGTGTGATTTACTGTAAATCTGTTTTGCTGAACTGAGGTTACCGAGACAATATTCGACTAAGCAAACATTCACGTCATCCTAGTGGATGTTTCGCCCCCATGAAATGTTTCGCATAAAGAATTTGTAATGTATATACGATCAGGAAAATCTCCAAGATTGAATTTGCAATAACTGAACGATGTGGAAATTTCTCGTTATATATTATTTATTAAGGTAAATGAGAATTAAGATTTAAATATATTTTTGTCGAATTATGTCTATTTAAAAGAGTTTGTAAGGCAGGCGTTACAAAGAACACAATAGGCATACTGGTTTGCATCTGTCTAAAGCCATGGTAACGAGCGATATGCGGCCATTTACCATTGCTACGTCAAGTAGTTACCTTAGACTCTTTTTTACCTTGCCGATTCGCCATGCAATGTGCCATTAGAGGTATTTTGTCCAGACAGCTGTGCTAGGCCTATTCTTATTTCAATTTGGCCAATATCGGAGTCTACTGTCTAGTTAGCCAAAACCATTCTGGATACTTTAAGAGACGTTAAATAAAGTTTAAATTTTAATTGCATACATTTATTTTGATTAGACGGACACTGGTCTAACAGCCAATGGTGGTGCTAAGCTTTAAGGGTTAAGGGTCAGACTTAATCCTCAACGCTTTGTAATAATTAAGAGGTTAAAATTAATGTGGGCTTTGGAGTTTATATTTTTCATGGATCTTGCAAATAACATAATGCCAGATAAATATAAGTTTAGAAGGTCGAAGAGGTGAAAGAAGTTTATCTTATCAGTAATTTTGGTAAACTTCGGTATAAACAGATAATACACGATTAACAATAATTTGGCATTGATAATGGCATACATTGATGTTTGGATGGTTCATCGAAACTTTATCTAGGTTTTTCGGAGACTAAAACATGTTTAAGGATTTACTATGGTGATATGTGAAATGTGGTGTAAGCGGGAATGTATTGTTCTGATTAAAGTGTATCGGTCTACCGACCTATTGGGAAAAAAACAATTTCTTTTACGTCTATATCTCAATATGTACACTGAGCCTAATTTTTCGTCCTATACGAACAAGTAGACAACGTTTATGTCAGTCCCTTATGTGCATACCCCGCGACAAGTGGGGACTTGGCTTGAAACATCTTTATTTTTGATGACACTAGAAAATAGACATAACACTGATTCATACAGTTGTTTATTTTTAATATATAAAGTAAATAGACCAAACAATGGTCTAAACCGCAGCGCATTTGTTAATGTCATAAACAAAGTTAATGTCAAACAAAGGCGTGACACGTCCGCAATACCTTCCTTCTCTGTGGTTAAGGAAAAACCCACTCTGAAAAATCAGGATGCCTTTCGTACACTCTCTGTATATTATTAAGCATTATATTCACGGAAACACACATATTAATAATTTATGACGCGTGATTTGTCGGTTTGAGTTAGATAAGCCGGACATAAATGTATATTTATTCATTTCTGATGAATGATGTGTCCACACATTTATACAAAGATGCTCACGGAAAAGCGTTACACTCTCGAGCACTGTCTCATAGAAACAATTTTCATTGGATAGAAAATAACCGTGTGAATGTTTTTGTAATGGAAATTGATATGAATCGACAATAAAAATAGCACACCTTGTCATGGGTAGAGCTTATTTTGGATAGAGGTGATAGTTTGGATGTTATGACTAAATCTTTCGCTGATATTTTAGGAGTAGAGGTAAAGTAAGAATAACGGAAATCATAAGGTGTATGGATTAGACTAATTCTAATATTAACAGAACACAGTTTTTATGGGAAACAATCACTGGTTTATTCTAAAAGCACTTGTCGATCCTCTTAATGTTATCAAGCACAATGATAACGATAAGGGGATACTTGTCGAAACGTCGTGCTTTTAGAATAAACCAGTGATTGTTTCCCATAAAAACTGTGTTCAGTTAATGTGTTTCCCAATCATATACGATCAATATGATTAAAGACCAATCTAAATTTCGGTTCGTTTTATTTTGTACTTTCGATTTCTTCCACTCCATATTGATCTGACCAATTTGATTACTCTGACACTGGTCTAAACTAGATCTGAACTTGATTTGATATTTCTCTGGTGCCTTGAAATGTCTGTGTTATCCTGTTGATTGTCTTGTTTGATTTCTTTTTTCATGTTTTATGTTTATTTGTTTAATGTATGATATTGTAATCATGCATTCACTACAAACAGAGGAAATGGAAAGCGAATGAATGAGTTTAACGTATTGCTGGCGAGGAGAATTTTGCCCGTTCAATAATGTTTCCGCACTTAAATCCTCACTTAGTACCAACTGATAAGTTTTCCTTTATGAATATGTAAATGTGTACGTATTCTCAGTTCCCCCAATCGTTACGCCTCAGATACTTCTACTTGTCTACACCACGGGATTCGAACCCGGAACATATAACTCCAAAGTCAAGTCCATATGTAACGGCCCCACAATCGAACTCGACTTTTACAACAGAGCTATGCTAATCAACGAGTCGTTTGGCCTACTATATTTTCGGGTTGGGATCCCCCAGAATAATATTTGTGAATGAAATGAGGTTTAATGCCCTACTGTTCTGCTCTGACTGGACTAATGAACACGCTATATGTGAATCAATGTCTTACTGGATAGTTGTGATATAATGTATAAAACGGATATGGGGTTATATTTTAGAAACAATTCATTTAATCTTCCAGTTTTGTTAAAATGGGAAAAAGGAAAAACATCGCCGTTATTAATTATCATGGATTTATGTTTTGTTGTTATCATCTGTTTTATCTTTTTTTTTTAATTTCAATTTTTCAGATAAACTACCTACATAGATCATAAAAGACCGCGTGTTATTGTGTCATCATTGGTGTATCACAGCAACTAGGAACTTAACGCCGTATAAAACTCAGTCGATTTCTCATTTGGAGTTACACATTGAAAGTTAGTAGGAAGTCCGGTTAACAAGTTAGAACACCGGCCATATAGATATTTTATTTATAACTAAAGTTTAATGGTGTTTTTATTGGATAGATTTATATTTTTTGTGATTAGATCTATGATGAAAACAGTGCAGTGTGGATATAATTTCATCGATTAATAAAACGTTATATGGATTACTGATGGGCTGTTTGTGTGACTTCACAGTCACGTCTCGATCTACAACGTTTCAACAACATTTATCAAGTTGATAAATCGATGAAAAAAAAAATACTAACGATATCGTATACTTTATGTACAACACCAGCAAGTAATGCAACAATAATGGAGTTAATATGAACACGGGGAATTAATTATTGTTGCGTCATCATCAATTAATTGAAGGACAAGATATTATATAATGACGAAAAACTAAAAATTCGGAATAAATAATGAATAGACCATTTTCATTTTTGATTAAGTATTTGTTCATTGCGCGACAAGAGTTAAATGTGTGTAGAATTATCGACCTTGACCTCTGAACGTTTAATTCAAAGTCAAATTATAGACCTTTAGTATTATGCCAGTGTAAAGTATCTAACATTACTTAATAGGACTTTAATCGCACACACTGACATCCCCTCGCTGATTTATAGAACACTAATTATCCTTTATCAAATAACACAGTATTTAATCCATCACTATTTCTTCATAAAAGATCCTAAATATCAATTGCACAAGATCAGCGTTAATAACGTTAATTGCTTGGCCGTAATAACTACCCCCTTTATAACTCTAAACATTCCGACGGTTTTGATTGATAAGCCAGCTTTAAAAAGAATAAGAAAAAAGCCATATCTGTACTTGAATGTAATTCGATTCGATCAAATCTATAACAAAACATATATAAAAGACGGTTTAAAATTTGACCTTTTAATGTCAACGTATATTTAAATGAATGGTTAAATTCAAATATTTTAATCAGCTAGATCACCGCGCAGATAGTGGCTTTAAAGTGATCCACAGGATGTAAATATTTGTTTTTGTAGCAATGTAAAAGTGTGCAATTGGCAGATATAGGCCAATGTAATTTTATAGGAATAATGTGAGATGTTGAAATCCGATAAAGGAATATGGCATTTTTCAGAGATAATTGATGCAGAAGCAGGCTTCTTTTTACTGTGCGAATACAGAGACTTTGGAAAAAGCTATACAAATGAAGTACTTTATCATGACCGACATTGTAATCGTAAGCCACAATAGTGTCTTTCTCCGCAGAGATAGTGATTTTAAAAATAAGTTACCCGAATGACATTTAACGAAACCGATACGATAAACACTACCATGCCGTCTCAAACAAACTTGTCAAACGAGGAACTACTGCTTCATCTGAACAATGAGATAGCCACAACCCTGATCCCAGCAATGCTGGTCATCGGGGTTCTTATGGTGATGGGTTTGATTGGAAACGGCTTCGTGTGTTTCGTCTTTGCTAAAAGACTAAAACCTGGTACTCAGAATTTCATGATATTGTGCCTTGCTATTTTTGATCTTTTGAGTTGTGTCATCGCTATGCCCGCAGAAATCGTGGATATGCGATATTATTACTTGTTCGATTCTGAGTTCGTTTGTAAAACCTTCAGGTTCGTCAACGTTCTTTGCAGCATGTGCTCGATTGTGACTCTGACAGCAATTGCAATAGATCGTTTTATTAAAGTGTGCCGACCTTTAGGACGACAGATGACTCTTGGGGAAGCTAAAATTTCAGTTTTGGCGTCTGTATTCATTGGGATATTTTTGGCATGGCCCTCTATATTTATCTATGGCTTGCGAACGGCAGACACGGAGATTCCTGGAATTGAGGGAAAAGACTGTTCAACCAGTGACGACCTCAAAGATACAAAGTACCCCTTAGTGTACAACTTTGTCCTCTTTGTAGGGTTCCTGGGATTGACAATCACATTTGCAGTGTTGTACGGGAAAATTTACAAAGAAGTGCAGAGGCATAAAAAGTATATGACAAAAGTAGCAATAGCAACACCATCTTCACCAATAACTTCAACATTAGAATTCAATTATCCATCCATAACATCTATCAATTCGGACATACACGATGAACTGCCTATCCGAAAATCTATAGCAAACGAAAATGCCTTACTGCAATTAGACATTAATTCTCAGGAAAATGGTTCTACGAGATCGTTGAATCATAATTCGAAAGGAGACAAAACAGTGACATTTAAGACTGAAAATGGTTCTGAGAGTGCGGTTATAAATGATAGTGAACTTACGGTTACCACGAATGGTGATACAAACATTTGTGCGAGTGGGAGTGGAAGTCAGATACATTCTAGCCCCCTTAACAAAGTGAGATCCATTCCTCCTCCATTGCAAATGCCTCGTGCTGACGAATATTGCGAGTCCGACATAGGCAGCAGTATTAGTGCCTGTAGCACACCAAAAAATAAAAAGAACCCGAGATTCAGCGTCGGTCGAGAAACCCGCACAACTGTCATTGCCTTTCTCGTCACCACTGTGTTTGTGATAAGTTATCTCCCTTACTTGGGCCTTATATTTGCTCGGATTTTTAACAAAGATTTCGATCACGATATTCGTGGTTCGGCTCTGGCAGCTTACAACTTGTTCCTGCGATCCTATTTTGTTAACTCAGCTGCTAATCCTATTATTTATGGTTTTCTTAATTTTCGTTTTAGACAGGAAGTGAAAAAAGTGATTAACAAAATTAAGTTTTGGAAGCGGACATGAAGGTGTTGTGTAACGTTTCTGTGCATGCATTTCGTATAATTTTACATAAAGTGAGCTAAAACTAATAGCAGGTACTAGTACAGGCCTATACATATTTATGGTAAAAATGTATTATCGCTTCCATTTAAAGGTGATTTGCTATTTTCTGACTATAAGTACTAGCTGCGATGGACGGGAACCATTTACATTACGACAGACGTTTTGCTTTTGATGAAAGTTTGACGTCATTGTGTATTCCAAGTAAAAGGGGTGATCCTACTGGGTCTGTATACTGATGGATGGGGAAATGAAAGCTATTTTCAGATAATGAAAACAGAAAATGCCGAAAAGTTCAGTTAAATTGTTTCACGCTGAACTGAGATATTAACAATGCAATTTTAGGCTAGTCTCGATTATCCATTTTGACGTTAAATTGTCCATCACAAAATGTATTTAAATCCACTAAAGATCGCAGGCTAACGATGGCATCAAGAGTTGATTATGATCTGGATCAGTTAATTAATGACTTATTAATAGTTTAGATAACATTTCAGGCCTAAAGACAGACCTGCAATAGGCAGATTTAGCTCTAGCATAATACATCTTTAATTATAGATTGAGTTAGTGAAGCCATCAATACTTCCAGATCATTCATTTGTGTCGCTACGCTTAAAATCAGAAATGTAAATTTTTTTTGTGTCAAAATTATCCGTTAGTCGCGTTTCAAATCTTTCAAATTGACAATCCCTGTGCCTACAGTGACGTCATGAGATCAGGATTTACTTTTGTGACACAAGAACAGTGCCATATAGAAAAGATAATTATTAGTTGATCCCACGTAGTTGTCATCATTATCTTACTCTGTTAGAATATAGATACATATGGACGACAGAAAAAATGACAATACAAAGCGTCTTTTCGACCCCACTCCTCGCTCCTCTCTTTTGGAATAAAGAACACTAGCGTAAAGTCATTTATAAAAATGTCTTAATACCTATGTTTATGTTCATTAACTTCCGTTTACATGTTCTCAAAAATTTAATTTAAAGATACATTAGTTAAGAGTTTAATAAAGAGTTGGCCATTCTTGCTATAATAATTCAAAAATAGACGATAAAAAGAGAAAATATTGAACATTTCAGTCCAATTACTTTATTCTGAACGGAGTTGTCACTGTTGGAAGTTTGGACTAGAAATAGACATCAACTGTGTCCGCACCGTCTACGAGAATTGAAGATCGTTTGATTGACAGACGATAACTCCACCCACATATTCTCAATTATCAAGTAACATTCTCAATGGCTATAGAACCCTTGCTTGGTGAGCCTTCAAAACCAGTTTCCGGTGGTGACGTCAGTAATTACCGGTAAACGTTAGCTTGGTCGGCCATTTCTTGAATTAATTTTAAATAGACGACTGTTTAAATCCAAACCACCCGAGGGTCTACAGAGTTGATTTTGAGTTTGTCATGTAAATAAAGGTCTAATTAATCATTTCTATAAGATCTGAAACCTAAATAAAGACTTGTAATAGGCAGATTTAGCTCTTGCATAATGTATGTTTAATATAAATTTTAAGAATTTTATTCCAAATTTTTAAATAAAGACTTGTAATAGGCAGATTTAGCTCTTGCATAATGTATGTTAATATAAATTTTAAGGATTTTATCCCAAATTTTTCTCTCGAACTTGATATCAAATCAAACTAGATGGTTAACCAGTTATGTAAATTTCTGTTTGCCCTTATTTATGTACCCACAGCTACATATTTTAGTTCGGTATGCAATTTCATAAGATATACAGATTTTCATATGCCTAAAGGAGTTATTTCCCCTTTTAAAACGGAACGAAAACGTGATAAAATGCGTTTTATTTTATGTAATAACATATTAAGCCAGTGTTATAACTTGGTGATTTTTATGTATTTTATTTTGATAAATTTATTTTGTTGTTTTATTTGGTTATTTCTCTTTCATCACATGGATTGGTATAAGCGGTGATTATTGATAGGGTTCCATGGTTGCTCAGTGAGTGAGACGCGCGCTCATTAACCAAAGGTTCTGGTTTTCGATCCAGGTATTGGCTGAGAAAGTACGTCGAGATGTTCCAAGTTGTTTCCCCTTGTCAGTGGTCTGACCAGCGGCAACCAACTTTGTTTAGACGTTTGAATGGCACAGAAAAAATAGATCATGAAAAATGAATATATTTACTGGCTGTTCAACAAAAGATAATGAAAAACGAATCTATTCTTTGGGAGATGTTATGACTGTTTGACGATGTAGCGTAGATCGTTTGCCATCGTAACAACGGTTCTTGAGAAGCGAGACTATGTCTCGATCATCCATTTTAGCGTTAAAATGTTAAATCAGGTGCTCAAATCCATTTAAATCTTGGCGATCCGATGGTCTAGTAAGTTAATTATAGACTTGCCATGTGAATAAATGTCTAAATAATAATTTAAATACGATTTGAAGCCAGAAAAAAGACCGACCACATGCAGATTTAACTCTTACATATTATATCTTTAAACTGGCAAGAAAAGTTAGGCTTCTTTGCCGTTCCATGACGTCATACGGTTTCGTGGATTGTGATACAGCGGGTTATAATAAGCCACGGAAAAGGGCATACTTTGCTTATGTAATGTAACTTCAACACTTTTCATTTCAAACTAAATGGACATTGTAAAATTATATTCGTTACTCAGATTAAAGATGCATTATGTAAGATTTTTATAAAAAAAAGATCTGGTCGTTCTTACTATAATAGATCAAAAATAGATAATAAAAATGAATATTCTGAAAATTTCATTCAAATTACTTTATTCTGGGAGAAGTTATGGCTGTTTAAAGATGTAGCGTAGATCGTTTATTATCGTAACCACGTCTCGATTACCCATTTCATCGTAATATTTTAAAATCTCGTGGGTGTTCAAATCCATTTCAATCTTGGACATCCGATAGTCTAGTGGGGAGCTTATAGATAATTGTTTCAATAATAATTTAAATAATATTTGCATCCAGCCAAAAAGACCTGCAATAAGCATAATTAACTCTTACATAATTCATCTTTAGAAGATTCATCGTGACATCTGGTAGAGATCACCTTTCTTCCTCGTTTATAAATTGCTTGAAAACAAAATTTTGAACACAATCCAGCCATTAAAGATATTTGTTACTTAAATGAATTCTCATCTCATAAAGAGTAGAGTTGTTAATAATTCTCTGGTATAGATTTCTTAAGGAGGACTACATCCAAGTGAATTCAAATGTGATTTTTACAGCAATGGAAAATGTCATATGATATACTTTTTTAAAAGTAAAATATGGATTATACTGCCATGAAAAAGCTAGAAAAAAATATCCGCGGTAGACAGAATTCTAACCCTGGAAGGGACTTACATAAAATCCTCATCTCAGATGACTCTGTGGGTGTTCATTATACAATAAACTTAAGCAAGTGCTTTGTATAAAATCATATCTGGATTAATTAAGCATCTTCCCGGAATTTACAAAACATTACTTACGGAACGCAAAGTCAGTGATTAACATAACTTTTTAATATAAAATTATTATTTGATATGTAAACCAAATCGCACCAACCTCCATGATGACGTCACAAATGAATTCATCCAATGAAGAGCTTTTGCGTCAACTTAGTGACGAGAAGGCAATGACGCTTTTGCCCGCCATTTTGTATGTTGGGATACTAATGGTGGTGGGCTTTCTAGGCAATGGTCTGGTGTGTTTTATCTTCTCGAGAAAACTGAAACCAGGAACTCAGAATATCATGATTTTGTGCTTAGCAGCTTGCGATTTTCTGGCATGTTCCGTAGGAATGCCTACAGAAATAACTGACATGCGCTTCGAGTATACTTTTGAGTCAGAGTTCGCTTGCAAATTGTTGAGATTCGTCACTACTCTGTCTACTATATCGTCAGTTTTAATACTAGTCGCCATAGCTGTAGATCGCTATATCAAAGTGTGCAGACCCTTTGGGAGGCAAATGACTGTTAGGGATGCCAAAACGGCTGTACTGGTTTCTTTATTAATCGCTATCCTGGCCGACGATCTTTATTTTCGGTACGCTATCTAAAAATACGGGAACACCAGGACTGTTTGGCAAAGATTGTTCAACAAGTGATGCAATGAAAGGGACCAATTATCCGTTAATCTACAACTCAATTCTTTTTGTGTGTTTCGTTTTGTTAACCACCGTGTTCATTGTACCATATGCTAAAATTTATAGGAGGATGAAGAGACAAAAAGAGATCATGGACAAAACTCGAAAATTTGAAGCAAGTACTGGGAAGTCTTCAACTCCTGCGAGTGTAAATAGATCCGATACTTCTACGGAGTCGGAAAAGCAAACCCAGATGCCCCCGACGACATCCACACAAACTGCTAAGTCATTGATAAATAATGATGCATCTGTTGCTAATTCGGAAGAAGATAAAACAATTTCCGTTGAAATTCGAACATGTTCCCTTAATTCGGAAGTAAGTGTCGATGAACCTACCCTTGTGAACATGGACAGTCATGGATCTGTTGATCTTCAAAAGAGCCTAACATCCATTCCTCCAGATATGGATGGGGCGGATGCACAGGGGTCAAAGCAAGGAGTCAAGTCATCTAAGAAAAGTTGCACTAGAGGAAAACTTGGTGCAGAAAGTCGCACACCTCTAATTGCTTTTCTGGTGACCATCGTGTTCGTACTAATTTACTTACTCTACCTGGGGATGACTTTCTCGGGTATCCTTAACAAAGGGTATTTTTATAATCTTCGCGGATCTTCTCGTGCAGCTTATAACCTGTTCCTACGGTCCTACTTGATGAACTCTGTTGCTAATCCAATTATTTACGGTCTTCTCAACCTACAGTTCAGTCGAGCAGTGGGGGTTATCTTCAAAAGACCGACTTGTTGTAGACCAAGCAGGATTTATGATGTTCATTAGTATATATAGTGTTTTGCTACAATGAAGATATTCTGAGAATTTGTACAAATACAAACACCAACACCCCATTCAATATGATGAGTAGTGATTGTCATCATGAACTAACCAAACTGACATTCTAGCCGTCGATTTTTTGATTGGCGGCTAGAATTAGAATGCGTCAACTAATCTTTATAATCTGAATTAATGTATGATAGAATATTCATAGTGTCATATTAATATATACACCAATAAAATTATACCAATATTTTTTCAGTTGTTTACCCCCCTTAATCTTATTCTACAGACATTTCTTTTTCGAACGTGTTTTGAGATTGGCCGCAAAGGGTTAAACCTTATGCATTAAGCTTAAAAAGTAAATTCCGCGAAGTGCGCTCAAACTTTAGGATCCGCAACCTTGAACATTATCACCAAGTCGTTAAGCTTCCCTTGAGAATAACACATGACACAATTACATATATGGAATACAAGTTACTTGAAGAGTTTATTTCAGCGACGTTTCGACAAGGGTTCTCCCGTCTTTGCTTGATAAAGACGGGAGAACCCTCGTCGAAACGTCGCTGAGATAAACTCTTCAAGTAACTTGTATTCCATATATGTAATTGTGTCATGTGTTAAATCTGCATTTCAAGTTTCTGGAGAGTTCACAACCTTGACATACCATATTTTTACACTATTAGAGTACGAGGGCCGGCCATTTTGTCCGATTCTCACGAAATTCGAACTCAACCATAATTAGAGTGTAACGGTGATATATTCAAACGATTTTTTTTTTTAAATTGGATAAAAACTGTGACCAGAAGCTAAAAACGCAATTTTTCGTACAGTCAAGGGTCATAATTCGGGAAGTTACGATCCGATATGTGCAAATATCCAAAGGAATTAAGATCTTTGGGTTATAAACATGTATTTCAAGTTTCATCAATATCGGATCAAAATTGTGAGCTGTAGAGGGTCCACAACCTTGATATACCATATTTTTACACTGTTGTGTTCGAGGGGAGGCCATTTTGTCCGGCAGTTTTGGTCCCATCTTCACGAAATTCGTACTTAACCGTCATTAAGGTGTAACAGTGATATATTCACAAGCTAAAAACGTGATTTTTCGTACAATCAGGGGCCATAATTCAGGAAGTTGCTATCCGATATGTGCGAATATCGAAAGGAACGAAGATCTTAGGGTTGTAAACCTGCATTTCAAGTTTCTATCGAAAGGAACCAAGATCTTTGGGTTATAAACTTACATTTTAAATTTCAACAAAATCAGATAAAAATTGTGACCTCTATAGGGTCCACAAGCTAAAAACGCGATTTTTCGTACAATCAGGGGCCATAATCCATGAAGTTACAGTCCAATACATGCCAATATCGAAAGGAACCGAGATCTTAGGGAGACAAACTTATATTTCAAGTTTCGTTGAAATCGGATAAAAATTGTGACCTGTAGAGTGTGGACGGACGGACGTCTGGACGGACACGGGCGACGACAATATACGTCCACATGAAAATGTGGGCGTATAAAAAATAAAGAAAGAAAAATAATTAATCTTTAGTATACTTGATATCCTAACCGATATTAAACCTGATCTTCGGCCAGACATTATTCCCTCCATCAGCAAAACGTAACACATTTGCAGACAGGTTCTTCAATGTTGCCTTCCACGTACCTTTAGAAGCTTCCCATATTAATTCATCATTCGTTTGTTATATTTATGTATATGATAACTGATATATTTTACTGACTGCACGGTGCCATTGAATGTATATATTGTAGTATAGGGTGGCGCTGTGTTACATGTAGTAAACTTCAAGTCTGATAATCCAAATTAATTGATAATGTGAATACAGATCAACAAGAATGGAAAGAGTATACCCTGCTCGTGCATTGTAATCCAGACACTCGTCACTTTAAACTAAATTGACATTGTGAAATCAGATATAGTAAGATACTTAATTAAGCTAAGTAATTTGAGTTGTGGTAAAGACGTGATTCAGTCTCCTTGCTCTTTCCCCGGGCAGTCAAATTTTAAAACGGTTTTTAAATATGAAATTCGCTACATTAGTACTTTAATACATTTCTACATTCCAGTTCAATGGACTTAAAATCCGTTTGAATATTCTCTAGAATTCGGATTTTGACGTCTAAGATGAATTTATCCAATGAAAAACTTTTGCGTCAACTTAGTGATAAGAGAGCCATGACGTTTTTGCCCGCCATTCTATATGTTGGGATATTAATGGTAGTGGGCTTGTTTGGCAATAGCCTTGTGTGTTTTATCATCGCTACAAAAATTTACTTGTATGTTCCGCAGGAATGCCAACAGAAATAGCTGATACGCGCTTCGATTATAATTTCGAGACCGAGTTCGCTTGTGAATTGTTGAGATTCATCAATACCATTTGTTCTATATATGGTCAATTTTTACGCTGGTCGCCATAGCTGTAGATCGCTATATCAAAGTGTGTAGACCCTTTGGGAGGCAAATGACTCATCAGGGAGCCAAGACGACAGTACTTATTTCTTTTTTAGCCGCAATCTTTTCATGGCCAAAGATCTGTTTTAAAGGTATTCGTTCTAAGGATACGGGAATACCAGGACTAACTGGGAAGGAATGCTCCACAAGTGATGCAATGAAAGGGGACATTTATCCGTTAATCTACAACTCAGTTCTTTTCGTGTGTTTCGTTTCATTAACCATGGTGTTCATTGTATTATATGCTAAGATTTATAGGAAGATGAAAAGACAATGACAAACTATGGAAAAAGCTCGAAAGTTTGAAGCAATTACTGGTAAGTCATCAAATCCAAAGGGAGTCTACACGACCGTAACGTCTACGGAATTGGGAAAGCAAAACCAGATTTCGTTGCAAACTGATGATTCACTGATAAAGGAGGGGATAAAAGAGTTTCCATTGAAAACTGGACATTTTCCCGCAGTACAGATATAAGTGACGATAAACATACCAACAATACTCTTATGGAAATGGACGGTCCCGAAACTGCCGTTCCTCAAAAACCTATTCACCTGATTGGAGCTGATAGAAACCTTCCTAAACTCTAAGTAGTCTAAGTAGACTGCGCTAAACGAAAGGCTAAGGAAGAAAGTTCCACAACTGCAATTGCTTTTCTTTTACCCATTGGGAGGCAGACCACCATAAATTCCCACGAATTGTAATTCGTCTATTTATAGCAATTCTCTCTCTCTCTCTTTTCTCCCCTTTTGCATGCCCATGACGAAGAGGGTTTGAATTAACATTTTCTACCAGGTTTTGGTAAATATTCATGATTTTGAGGCGGAAGGATAAGAGGGTTATCAGGTTAGCTACGGCGATATGTACGGCAACTAGTTACATGTTTTTAGTATGCTTCTTCAAGTTTGTGTATCTCAAAATTTTGGTGGTCAACCTCATACAAATTTTAGTGCAAAGACATGACCATTTGTTCCTCTGTCTGTAGTGAAAAGCATTCAGCCCAACGAAAATTTGGGGTAAAGTTGGAGGTGGGCAAAGAGGCCAGAATTAACATTGAAGTCAATGGGGAAATTAATGGTGGTCTGCCTCCATTGTGTTCGTTGTGAGTTATCTACCTTACCTGTCGATGACCCTCTTCTACAGAATCTTCGACAAAGAATTTGACCAAGATCTTCGCGGATCCTCCCTTATAGCTTATAACCTGTTCGTACGGTCCTACTTTGTTAACGCTGCTGTTAATCCAATTATCTATGGTCTTCTCAGCCTACAGTTCAATCGAGCAGTGAAGGAAGGCTATGTTCAAAAGACCGACTAGTCGGCCGATTTAGATTACCCGGTGTGATAGTTTGAGTTGACTCCTGGTGTGTGTTTTCTCCTGGGCACTTGCGCATGTCCGAAACTGATGTTTGCCATAACAACGAAACTATATCTACTTCCTGCAGTGTGTGTTGGTTCCTGACCACTGGTCAGTACAGGAAAAAATATATCATGTACTTGATTAGAGTTTTGTCATTAATAAAATACTTGTTGACGTGATTAGCTGTTGTTTTAGTGATCAGTTGTTACACGATCAACGGATCTAAGTTGATTGGCTTGAAATTAATACTTCGTTCGTGATTTGTTGCCGTTGGTTTTTTTTTTAGTGATTAGTCGTTCTACACACGTACGATCAGTGGAAACCATACAAATTGATGATTGGCTTGAAATTATCAATTAATTCACCTCCAAAGGAAGATTAAGGCCTTTGATAGTTCGTGGCTTCATTTAACACAAATATAAAAGTATGGAATTTCTTATTCCGATTTCTTTAACATAAATATAGATTTATTACACCATCCCATACGTACATTCAAACATGCATGTATACAGCCCAAATACAAGAGAGAATGTTCGCATTGTGGACGGGTATATATACTAAATAATAAAAATAAAGATCGTCAATTTGCATCCTCTCTTAGTGGTAATATTGTAAATATATAATAGTCTATAATATATTGATTTGACCGTAAGAAGATCTTAGGGGAAATCCTATCACGAGGAGTCAATGCACACCGCGTCTGTGAGGTGACTCCTACAACTGCGCATGCGCCAAACGGTAATCACACACCAGGGACCATCTGAAACTGCCACACCGGTAATACCCCAAACATGACGATGTCTACACCCCCACCCCCGGCTCAAATTCCATGACACGCTCCTGTTTGGATTCATTGAGAGCTTGTATTAAAACCTAAAATAATATCTCCTAGTATAGTTCATGGTAATAGAAGCTAATTGTGTTCGATGTTAGGGGTGACGATTGTCATCCTGAAATACAAATATTTCCTTCCAATATTTCTCCGTTGTTTACTCCACTCTATCTTTGTGATTGGTCCTCTTCAAATCAGCCTACCAATCAAACCCGCTGATTAGGATACAGAAAATCCCACCCAGTATCCGGTTTACCCCGAGTTCACAGAGCATTCTCAAACTTAAGAAGTTACTCAAAATTGGTCGCCTTATTTTAACTAAAATATAGCCTATCTCTTTATAAAACATTTGTTATTTTAATGTATCAAATACATCAATAAGAAACTATGTGCAAAGTTTTGCTTTTCTAGATCAAAGATATTTCTCTGAGCATGCTTGGTGTACTCAGGGCACTTGTATATAAATATTTGTGGTGAAAACTATGGAAGCCTATAACTACCATTCATAATTTCTACTTTTCGCCTCTTCAAGACACGAAAGTCGAAAAGTCGAAAAGTAGAGGTTACGACAAAATGTGAGGCGACAACACGCTATACAAGCCCAAATCAACTCGAAAATAGGAAATTAAGAAATAACACACAGCGATAATAGCGCCACTCGTTTTTTCTTAATTTCTTATTTTCGACTTGCATTTTGGCTTTTACCGTTTTGTCGACTTTCGACTTAGTCATATTTTTGTATTTATTGATGTCAGTAAGAAGGCGCCAACACGCATACCAAGTCAAAATGCAACTCGAAAAGTAGAAATTAGGAAATTAACACACCACGCTATTAGCGACTATTTGTCTTGGAAGTTGTTGTAGTCTCAGTGTTCCAGGTCGCATTTGAATACGTGCAATCAGGGCTCATACTGTATTTCGTTCTTTTCCGTCAAAATGGATAATAATTTTTATATAAAAAAAATGTTCATATTTTTTTTCCGCAAACTGGGATATTTTATCTGCCAAAAATGTCTGATAAAAAAAAAACACCTTAGGCTCCAACAATTTAATTTATTATATAGGCCTATTATAAAACAAATTTCCCGTACCGATATATAAAATATACAACATACATGGGGATTGGGTGGTCTAGTGGTTTAACATGTGCGCGTGAAATCACAAGGTCTGACATTGATTCAAATGGTGTGGTTTCGATTCCCCGCTTAAACATGACAAGGAAGTAGGATTGCTTGTCCAGCCTTGTGAGTTTTCTCCGGATACCCCAGTTTCTATCCACTGCTAAAGACCCCTACGTGCAAACCAATTATTGAAATGATTTAGTTTGCAACGAGTGGATGTTAAGCCAGCCTGGAGGTCGGGTGTTCGATCCCTGCATTGGTCGAGAAAGTTCAGGGGGTAGGGATACATGTTTGAGTTTAAATCTCTAATATTACAATCAATGCAACTGATTTGCAATTTTTCTGTTTGCATATTGTCCACAGATTCTAAAAATATATTTCTTGCCAGTCTTGATATTTAAAAAAGTGGAAAATTATTAGTATTTTGAAAGATGCTACATGTAACTTTTGTACATTTTTCATGACATGGCAGTAAAAAATTATTTTTTTGAAAAAAATTCCAAATTATGAGTGTTTTCTATTTAGTTTATTTGCAACTTGTCTAATTTTTTCGCATAACTCAAATCCTGCCCCTAATAAGAAAGATTTTTAAATTTTAGCACAAAAGGCCCATGGACCGGAGATGCACCATTGTACATAAAGCAGCATGTATACTTAAAGGGCCATCATTTTTGCAGTTATTCTTTGATTTTGATTTCCTTTCACCAGCATGTTGCCAGAACACATGGGAAGCAAATAAAAAGGGCCTTTTGGTGATAACAGAAGTTTCACCCCTATATATGTGTATATGTGTATAATCAGAACTCAAATACTGCCCCTAATAAGAAAGATTTTTGAATTTTAGCACAAAAGGCCCATGGAGCGGAGATGCACCACTGTACATAAAGCAGCATGTATACTTAAAGGGCCATCATTTTTGCAGTTATTCTTTGATTTTGATTTCCTTTCACCAGCATGTTGCCAGAACACATGGGAAGCAAATAAAAAGGGCCTTTTGGTGATACCTGAAGTTTCACCCCTATATAGGACACAGCTCACCAAGGGCCAAAGTTATTTTTAGTCTCTCTCTCCCTTTCCCTTTTTCCCCCTTTTGCATGGCGATTTTTGTTGACTTTTTGTTGTAGAATCGAAAAAAAAGGGTTTGAAAATACATTTTCTGCCAGGTTTTGGTGAATATTCATGATTTTGAGGCGGAAGGATACAAGAGTTGTGAGGTTGGTTACGTTGAAATGTAGGGCCGGAAATTGCATGTTTACTTGTCTCTACTTCCAACTTTTGTATCTCAAGTTTTTCATGGTGAACCTCATACATGCTTTTGGGCAAGAGTTTGCCACATGTTGCTCCATCTGTGGCAGAAAGCGTTCTACCCAACGAAAATTTGGGAAAAAGTTAGAGCCGGTCTAAGAGACGAGAATTAACATTAAAGTCAATGGGGAAATAATTAGTGATCTGTGGCCATATGTGACGAACACAGATTTTAATGGAGGCAGACCACCATTAAATTTCATCATCTCGGTACCCACGAATTGTTGTTCGTCTATTTATAGCAATTCTCTCTCTCTCTCTTCTCCCCTTTTGCATGCCCATTTGTGTTGATTTTTTGGTCTAGAATGGACGAAGAGGGTTTGAATTAACATTTTCTGCCAGGTTTTGGTAAATATTCATGATTTTGAGGCGGAAGGATAAGAGGGTTATCAGGTTAGCTACGGCGATATGTACGGCAACTAGTTACATGTTTTTAGTATGCTTCTTCAAGTTTGTGTATCTCAAAATTTTGGTGGTCAACCTCATACAAATTTTAGTGCAAAGACATGACCATTTGTTCCTCTGTCTGTAGTGAAAAGCATTCAGCCCAACGAAAATTTGGGGAAAAGTTGGAGGTGGGCAAAGAGGCCAGAATTAACATTGAAGTCAATAGGGAAATTAATGGTGGTCTGCCTCCTAATATGCCTAAAGGAGTTATTTCCCCCTTTTAAAACGCGATGAAACGAAATGGGGTTAACGGGCTAGTGAAGACGGGATGTGATAAAATACGTTTTTATGTATTTTATTTTGATCAACATATTTATCACCCAATAACCATTCTACAGTCGATATCTCTTGTTTGACAATTTTCTTATTCTACAGAGCGATCTTTGCATAAAATAAAATCTATTCCAAAGAACTATATTTATTTATTTGTACATGTAAGAATGGGTTGGGTGATTAATACAATCTTATAATCGTCTTTTTGATATTAAAATTGATTCGTAGGAGATTCTCTATATAAAAACAACCTACGAAATGAAATGAATGGGGTTTAACGTCCTACTGTTCTGCTCCGAACTGGGGTAATAAAGACGGGTATACCCTTACAGTGTGCTATGAGGGAAATTTTGCCCCGCGGCCTACTCTTATATCGAATTCCAACTGTCAAGGGATCTTTTACGTGCACGCCAATGTGTTCACGGGACTAAGGTTTTTTCGTCCCATCCGAAGTGCTCGTATTGCACGAAGGCCTAGTCTCGTAGACGCTATTGTCCATATAGTATTGCAAATCCGCCGGCTTTTCGCGTAGTAATCGTGGAATAAGCTTTATCTTGAAGATTTCGACGTTTAATAACAAAAAACAAATGTTGACATTTTTTTCTGAGGAGGTCTTCGTAAAATGGGACGCCATTATTTGAAGGGTAGCCATTTTGCGATAATATTTCAACTTATTTGTTATATTTAACTTATTTATAACGTTATCGACATAACAAACTGTGATTTGGCACTGTGTTAATGACATGGCCATACTATAAAGACCCACTCAGAAAAATATCAACATTGTTGGTTTTTTTGTCATAACCTTATAGCTAATCCCTTGATTTGCAAGCTGTGGTCCGGGTTGTCTCTATTGTCACAGTTACCGGTAATAGGGTGTGCAACTTTCATATCGATCATACTTGAAATGAAGCGGCCTTAGGCTTTTTCGAAGAGTCTTGTCCTCAAGAACAAGATGAGTAACCTTTTGTCTGTCATTGAGCCCAGTGCAGTGGTTGTGGTTTTGGTTAGTCTCTATTATTCGAATATTAGTTTGGGCGGGTTGTCAACATTTGAGAATAACTAGGTCATTGGCTAGATTATACGGTCTTTTACGTTATCATGTACAAAATCTACGTTTAGCAGCCAGAAAGCGCAATAAGGGAGGTAAATAGCTCTAAAATAAGATCTCGACGACTATGAAATTGATTTATGGATTGTCAATTCAGAAAAATCAATTGGCACTGCTAGTTCAACATTCAAATACTTCTACTTTTTTATTGTAAAATTTCGCTCTTCAAGGATCATTTTAATGGTTTTTATTCCTGTTAGTTTATAATGAGGCATGAATTATGGGATTTATTTCGAGAAGGAGCGCAGTTTATAATGAGGCATGAATTATGGGATTTATTTTGATCATTCGTAGCCCGGAGGTTTTATTTTTTCATGTGGTTGATTATCCAGTAAACCTTCGTCAATTGTGGATAACTGACCGACACCCCCTACGTTGAAGACTTGTTTTTTTAAAACACGAAACAAATATATAGATGATTTGAATGATGCAACTTACATTACTTAAAGATGCATAATGTAGGATTAAGATAAAGAGCTGACTTTCTTGCTGCAGTAGTTCGAAAATAGATACTGAAAAATGAACATACTGAAAATTTCAATCAAATTACTTGATTCTGGTTATCAACGCGCTTTGTCATGTACCATTGTCATGATAATAAAGGAAATTGCGATTTTCGGCAGTCTCCGTGAGTGACGTACATATTAACGTTTAACGAAGATATGCCCGGCAGTGTCTAATCCACTTTGCCGTCATATGTTCCAGAGCGTTGATTAAGGGCTTGTCATGAGAATAAATGTCTATATAATAAAAAACCCCAACAAAAACCAAACATCCAAACATGGTTATATGGAAACGGTTCCATTTCATTTGAGTTACACCCACATTTTCGTCAAAAACGCGCACATTAAACCACGGAGAAGTGCATACTCTGCTTGTTTATGGTAACTTCAACACTTGTCATTTCACTCTTCAAAAAAGTAGGGGATATTCAGAAACAATACAAAACTGCGGAAATGCGCTGCTGTTTTTATTAGAGGTAACCAGTGTATGTTATATGTTAATAACAGGCCAATTGCCTACACATGAACATAAACAGTTCATATGGGCGGCTTATCTGACGGCCCCATTTCACTCGCAAAGAGATACACTGTCAAAAGTGAAAATGGACGTTTTTGATTTCTGCCTTAATAATGAATAATTGCTCCACCAATCCTCAGACATTCAGCAATTCGTCGTGGCATGCTCCTAATCAACCGTCCAATCCTCTTGCAGTGCCACCCCCAATTCTTGCAGTGTTGTCCGTTGACGTCGACGTCTCCCGATCATGTCCCAGACATTCTCTATAGGAGAAAGGTCCGGACTCATGGCTGGCCAAGGTAGTCATTCACGACACAAGCACGGTGGGCACGGGCATTATCATCTTGAAAGATGAAACGTCGACCTGCACGTTGAGCAAAGGGCAGAACTATCGGTGCCAGTGACCCTTCCTTGAACAATATGCAAGTCCGTTCTGCCAGTCATGGTGATTCCTCACCACACAATAACAGACACACGCCCGAATCTGTCATGCTGTCTGACGTTAACCTTAGCATGACGCTCATTTACACGCTTCCAAACGCGAGTACGCCTATCAGTGAAATCCAGAGTAAATCTGGACTCATCTGAGAACATCCCCCCCTTCGACGATTACCCCAATTTCTACGCTGCCTACACGATTGGCGCCTGTTTGCCATGTGCTGGCGAGGTAATGGAGGCACAACACGCGGTCGTCACGCATGCAAATGGGCTGCATGTAGCCGATTTCTAATCGTTTGGGATGTAACTCGAATTCCCGTAACTTGGTACAAGTTTACAGAAAGCTGATTGACCGTTTGTCCTCGATTTCGCAGGACCTGTGTACGAATGTATCGATCCTGGGCTTGTGTAGTGGCTCTAGGACGACCTGAACGAGGTCTATCATCAACATTGTTTGTTTGTTGGTACCGGTTCCACAGTCTGCTGATCACAGACTGTGACACAATAAGCATGTTGGCTACTGCTCGCTGTGTAGAACCCATTTGAAGCATGCCAATAGCATGTAGATGTTCACCATGTTAAAGACGTCTCATTGCAAGAACCAATAGGAAAGCAAACATGGATATAGGATAAACCAGCACGCGGCAGTTTTCATCAACCCTTCCTTGAAGTGTCAAATTTGACAATAAACCCCTCCCACGTGTATGGCGCTATTGCGTGTCGCACGTGCAGCTCGGTGGTTCTGTTGGAGCGATAAGTTCTTCATCTGTGAACATACTCTCAAAGCATGTCAAGTGTCTATGACTATTTATCATATTGCAACCTGGATAGGTATTTGCATTTCAATATAACCAACTTATTTGAAGAGTATATATAAAATTACATGTTGGTTCGTGACTTAAAATGAACTATGCATCATGTAAGATTACGACTGTTTGATAAGGTAGCTTATGACCGTGTTGTCTTAATTTTTTTAAATCTCGAGGGCGTTCAAATAGACTTGTCATGCAGCCACTGAAGAATATGCATCATGTAAGATTACGACTGTTTAATAAGGTAGCTTATGACCGTGTTGTCTTAATTTTTTTAAATCTCGAGGGCGTTCAAATAGACTTGTCATGCAGCCACTGAAGAATATTTAGCTCTTACATAGTTCATCTTAGCAAGATTCATCGTGACATCTGAGATCACCTTTGTCCTCATTCATAACAAGATTCATCTTGACATCTGATTGAGATCATATTTCTTGTCATGTAAATAAATATCAAAATAAAAAGTTAAAGATACATTATGGGAGATTAGATAAAGAGCTGGCAGTTCTCTCAATAATAGTTAACCAGCGGCTGCCAGGCAGGATACGCCCACATTTTCGAGAGATGGATAGAAAACAAGCTAAAACGAAAGTGATTTTTCCTACAATCAAGGGCCATAATTCAGGAAATTACAATTTGATATGCGCAAATATCGAAAGGAACCAAGATCTTTGAGTTATAAATACATTATGGGAGATTAGATAAAGAGCTGGCAGTTCTCTCAATAATAGTTAACCAGCGGCTGCCAGGCAGGATACGCCCACATTTTCGAGAGATGGATAGAAAACAAGCTAAAACGAAAGTGATTTTTCCTACAATCAAGGGCCATAATTCAGGAAATTACAATTTGATATGCGCAAATATCGAAAGGAACCAAGATCTTTGAGTTATAAACTTACATTTCAAGTTTCAACAAAATCGGATAAAAATTGTGACCTCTATAGGGTCCACCATCTTGATATACCATATTTTTACGCTATTTGAGAACGAACGGCGGCCATTTTGTCTGTCAGTTTTGGGCCGATTTTCACGAAATTCGAACTCAACCGTCCTTAGGGTTTAACGGTGATATAATAATACGGTTTTTTAAATCGGATAAAAATTATGACCTCTATAGGGTCCACAAGCTAAAAAACGTGTTTTTACTTACAATCAGGGGCCATAATTCAGGAAGTTATTGTCCGATATGCGCGAATATCGAAAGGAACCGAGATCTTTGGGTTATAAACTTACATTTCAAGTTTCAACAAAATCGGATAAAAATTGTGACCTCTACAGTGTTCACAAGCCAAAAACGTGATTTTTCGTACAATCAGGGGCCATAATCCATGAAGTTACGGTCCGATAGATGCCAATATCGAAAGAAACCGAGATCTTAGGGTGATAAACCTATATTTCAAGTTTCATTGAAATCGGATAAAAATTGTAACCTGTAGACTGTTCACATACAATTGTGGACGGACGGACAGGGGCGACGACAATATACGTCCACATGAAAATGTGGGCGTATAAAAACTAGATACTGTAAAGGGAATTTGCTGAAATTTTCAGTCAAATTGATCTACTATGAACCGAGATTTTAGTGATTGAATTTTCGGCCTAGCCTCGGTCATCATTACTAAAGTCGGTAGGATAAAAACATAGTCTCGATTATCCATTTCATGACGCAATTATGAATGGAAGTCGAACAGCAAATTGGAACCTAATCCAATAAACATCGCAGGCTAGCGATGACATCGAGAGTTGATTATGGTCTGGATAAGTTAATTAATGTCTAATTAATAATTTAGATAACATTTCGGGCCTAAAGAAAGGCCTACAATAGGCAGATTTAGCTCTTGCATAATGTATGTTTAAATAAAATTTGTAGCCGTACAATTAACTCTTATATAACAGGATACTAATCTAACTCGTGACACTCTTCCTCGTTGGTTATCCAAACAAAATCTCATCTCATAGCAATGATCTCTGTGTTAAAATTATATTTGGGATGTATTTATAGAGCTCTATCACATATTTTATAATGACTGACACCAATATTGTCCTTTAAGGATTCCCTCGTATCCGGGTGAATTCAAATCCGATTTCTACAGCAGTGGCAAATGTCATTTTATGAGATATTTGTAATCTATACAATTTTTAAGGAGAACTAATCCAAGTGATGTCAATGATTTTTAAAAGTAAAATATGGATTATACTGCCCTAGAAAAATATTCGCGGTAAACAATTCTAAACCTTGAAGAGACTTAAATGAAATTCTCATCTCGGATAATTATGTGGGTGTTTATTTTGTGTATTAAAATTATGCAAGTGGTTTGTATAAAATCATATCTGGATTAAGCATCGTCCCGGAAACTGCTACCACGTGTGACACTTTTCCATAATTTCCTAAACATTATTTACGGAACCAATCTCACCAACCTCCATGATGACGCCTCAAATGAATTTATCCAATGAAGAACGTTTGCGTAAACTTAGTGATGAGAATGCCATGACGCTTTTGCCCGCCATTTTGTATGTTGGGATATTAATGGTGGTGGGATTTCTAGGCAATGGTCTGGTGTGTTTTATTGTCGTGAGAAAACTGAAATCAGGAACTCAGAATATTATGATTTCGTGCATGGCAGCTTCAGATTTTCTGGTATGTTCAGTAGGAATGCCTCTTGAAATTACTGACATGCGCTTCGATTATACCTTTGAATCCGAGTTCGCTTGCAAATTGTTGAGTTTCGTCCATACACTGTCGACTGGATGGTCAGTTTTAACACTAGTCGCCATAGCTGTAGATCGCTATATCAAAGTGTGCAGACCCTTAGGGAGGCAAATGACTGTTCGGGAGGCCAAAACGGCTGTACTGTTTTCTTTATTAATCGCTATCCTGCTAACCTGGCCGACGATCTTTATTTTTGGTACGCATTCTAAAAATACGGGAATACCAGGACTATTTGGGAAAGATTGTTCCACAAGTGATGCAATGAAAGGAACCTATTATCCGTTAATCTACAACTCAATTCTGTTTGTGTGTTTCGTTTTGTTAACCACCGTGTTCATTGTACTATATGCTAAAATTTATAGGAGGATGAAGAGACAAAAAGAGATCATGGACAAAACTCGAAAATGCGAAGGACGTACTGAGAAGTCTGCAACTCCTCAGAGTGTTAACAGGTCCGACACTTCTACGGAGGCGGGGAAGCAAAACCAAATGTCCCCGACGATATGCACACGAACTGCTGACTCATTGATAAAGAATGATGCATCTGTTGCTAATTCGGAAGAAGATAAAACCGTTTCCGTTGAAAATTGTATATATTCCCTTACCCTTAGTTCTGAAGTAAGTGTCGATGAACCTACTCATATGAAAATAGAGAGTCTTGGGACTGTTGATCTCCAAAAGAGCCTAACATCCATTCCGCCAGCACCTACTGACATGGCTGTGTCGGACGCACGTGGGACAAAGCAAGAAGTCAAGTCATCTAAGAAAAGACGCAGTGGAGGAAAACTTGGGGCAGAACGTCGCACAACTATAATTGCTTTTTTGGTGACCACCGTGTTCGTGTTGAGTTATCTACCTTATCTAGGGATAACTTTCTTTAACGAGGGGTATAATTATGATCTTCACGGATCTTCCCTTGTAGCTTATAACCTGTTCCTACGGTCCTACTTTGTGAATTCTGCCGTTAATCCAATTATTTATGGTCTTCTCAACCTACAGTTCAGTCGAGCAGTGAAGGCTATGTTCAAAAGACCGACTTTTGATCGCAGAATTTATGATGTCGGTGAGGATATATAGTGTTTTGGTGTGATATTTTATTGTTCTATTATTGAGATATTCTGAGAATTTGTAAAACTACAAACACCAACACCCCATTCAATATGACGGGTGGTGATTGTCGATTTGTGTGATTGGCGGCTATGATTAGGATGCGTCAAAATATCTTTAAAATCTGAATTAATGTATATTTAGGGTGTCATATTGAAATACATACCAATAAAATTATAGCAATATTTTTTTCGGTTGTTTGCTCCCCTTTATCTTTCGGACGTGTTTTGCGATTGGCCGACAAAGTGATTAAAACTTATGCATTAAGCTTAAAAAGTAAATTCCGTGAAGTGCGCTCAAACTTGAGAAACATTATCACCAAGTTGTAAAGATTTCATTGATAACTTCGTTCTCTTTCAAGGTTACAAGATTTCTTGTGTTTGAAAGTAACCTGGGGGATAATTGCAATATTACCATCAAACCTATTCTTAATTTCAATTCGAGTTCCCCAGATGAATAACCCATGTTTTAATAATTCGATTGAGAACCTTCTTCTGCATCGCGCCCGTAAGCTTTAATTAACAGTTGAAAAATAATGATAACTCTGCGAAACGGACTCGAGTTACAAAACATTCGTTTGAATCGCGCTCACAATATTCTATAAACATGAAAGTAAAGGGTTGGTTAAAGGGACAATAACACTCTTGCTGGCTTCACAGCTCCAAAAAATAAAAAATAGCCTTATTCTTAGTACTAGATGTGTTAGCGTCTTACCTGTTGTGTAAATTACCCATTAAATCATATTTTACTTGTCCAGGGGGTTCAAAAATATTTTTAAATCCAAGTCAGATTTGAAAAGCTTTACGTCAGGCTTTTCAAATCATTTAGTTGAATTTTTCCATTTTTTTAAATTAGGTGTGTTAAGATGAAATTTGTATCATCAATTAATTGGAATATTGTAAAATAGTACAATTTGTTGACCAGAATAAAGATTGGGACATATTATTCAGTTACAACAAGAGTGGTATTGAGCCTTTAACTCCTTAGCTAAATTGAACAATCGCACCCAGTTTTAAAACATAACGTCGAGAATTTCGTTTTGTCTCGCGTCTACAAGCTTTAAAAGTTAAAATATGGCCAAAAATATAAATCACTTCTGGTTCGAAATGTAAGGTCCGAAATTTTTTTAAAGTCGAGAACGTTCCTATCCATGTTGAACACAAATAAACAGTCCCTTTGAGTTTAAAAGGTTTGTCCTGTATCGTAATATTATATTGTACATTTTCACCCGAAAAGGCTTTATTATGGTGGCTGTTAGCGGCCATTCAAATGAATCTAAATCGTCGCCCGCCGACACGACAAAATAACCCGACGATCGTCGCCTTCATTTTGTCGTGTCGGCGGGTTGTTTTCTTCGAGCATGCGCATTTGCTGATTGGATAACTTGCATGCGCACAGATTAACTTCCGAGGCGACAAGTCGCCGCACGACAAGTCGAAATAATTGTATTTAGTCGACTTGTCGGTTGTGAATAAGTCGAAGGCGACAAGTCGCCGCACGACGAAATCAACCCGCCGACACGACAAAATAACCCGACGATCGTCGCCTTCATTTTGTCGTGTCGGCGGGTTGATTTCGTCGTGCGGCGACTTGTCGCCTTGTCGGGTTGTGAATAAGTCGAAGGCGACAAGTCGACAAGTCGACGAAATCAACCCGCCGACACGACAAAATGAAGGCGACGATCGTCGGGTTATTTTGTCGTGTCGGCGGGTTGATTTCGTCGTGCGGCGACTTGTCGCCTTCGACTTATTCACAACCGACAAGGCGACAAGTCGACGAAATACAATTATTTCGACTTGTCGTGCGGCGACTTGTCGCCTCGGAAGTTAATCTGTGCGCATGCAAGTTATCCAATCAGCAAATGCGCATGCTCGAGTTTGACAAGTCGCCGCACGACAAGTCGACGAAATCAACCCGCCGACACGACAAAATGAAGGCGACGATCGTCGGGTTATTTTGTCGTGTCGGCGGGTTGATTTCGTCGACTTGTCGACTTGTCGCCTTCTTCACAAGGCGACGATTTAGATTCATTTGAATGGCCGCTAACAGCCACCATACTTTATTGAAATTTGCGTATTTTAGTATTATAACTACTATTCTCGTGATAATCGACTAAACAATAATAGTAATTAGAATTGTTTAAGTTCTTGGGGATTAACCACTTTACGTAATGGTAGTGAGGCAACTGGTAGGTTTGTTTATAAGTTAGTAACGTGTTTCTATAGATTTGAGAACTGAACAACTCAAAGATATATAAATCCAAGAAACAGTCAGTTCTTTAGTTACGTTTAGTCGTTTTCTAACTATAAACTCATTAGAAACCTGAACAGCTGTTCTCGTATTTAGGTGTGTGTATATTAGGTTTAATATTAAAGATACATTATAGGAGATTAGATAAAGAATTTACAGTTCTCGGTATAATAATTAAAAAAATAGTAGAATATTATGCTGAAAATTTCAGTTAAATTGCTCCAATTTGAATCGAGATATCAACCTTTTAAAATTTAGGCTAGCCTCGATCACCATTACTAAAGTCGGTACAATAAAAACCAAAGAGTCGATTATCCATTTTTACGTTAAGTTATTTTTAAAAAAACTGTATCCCAACTCGCTAAATATCAGAGGCTTGCGATGGCACCGAGATAGAGTTGATTATTGTCTGGATATATTAATTAATGTCTAATTAATAATTTAGATAACATTTCAGGCCCAAAGAAAGACCTGCAATAAGAAGATTTAGCTCTTGCATACTTTATGTTTAAGTTATTTTGTATATATCTAAGTTTCTAAGATTAATTAATAATAGTTGTTATTTTCATTAGGGTTCCACACTGTGTAGCGTGTGTGGAAATTCTTCTTTTTCTTATTTTTTTTTCCACTTGACTTAAGAGTTTAAAGCTATTTCGAACTTTCTGCGACAATACGAAATGTTCGAAATCACCAAGTTATCGATTTTTGATGATATATTGCCGTAATATTAACAATAATCATCGGATTTTAACATTTGATACGTTATGACATAGTCTGAGACAGGGCAAATGGCTACGGTCCTTTAGATTATTGATTTTTGACGAATCTTCGAAGATATTAGGCGCCAAATTTTGAAAATTTCAATTTTTACAAAAACCTATTTTATTTATGAATATTTTATATGGCATTTTACCCAGGGTTAAAGAGTCATCTGATTTGAGCAAAAATGTCATCATTTTTTGTCTCCGTAATTTTCCTTGTCCGCCATTGGTTAATTCAGTTTTTCAGTCCTAGATTTATTATGTATTGTTCGATTTGTATAAAACAATTTCCATATGCTCAGTGGTCCACAATGTCTCTTTTTTTGTTACTGGAAAAGTTTCCTGTCGACACCGGAAGTGACGTAAATTTAGCAAAAACTAACATTTTGACAATTCGGTACAACCTTTTGAAAGCAAATATTATTTTTTTTCAAATCTGATATAACTGAAAGGGTGTGCCATGTAAAGGCACACAAAACATCGAATTCGTTTTCGGGCCATTTCGATTAAAACTAGGTGAAAAGGGGTGTAGAAAAAGCTATTACCCATCCAGAGCGGGAAACGGGGTTTAACGTCCACTCGACACAAACTAGGTCATTTCGGGTAATTTTATTTTAATAATTCGATTGCGCGTAGGGGTCTTTAGAAGTGGGAGGGAATCGGAGGATGTGGAGAAAACCGGTGTTGGACAGGCGACCCTACTCCTTGTCACGTACAACCATGGAATCATATTTTAAAATTTTTCTTCGTAAGTTTCATAAACTCGTAGTAATAGCCCATACGAAGAGAATTTATGTCAAAATTAGTTTGTAATATGCGCATTTGCCGAGAAATAGGCAATTTCATGGGTTCATTCTATTTGTTGATTGGAATCAAATATCAAAATTTTAAACAAATAACAAATACGACTCATTTAAATAAAATATTTGTTTTGGAGGCTAAAAATTCATTTTTTGGCACAAGATGTCATTTCCGGTGACTGATAAAATGGTTTGATCTAGTCAATAGTGGCAGAAAATTAAAAATCGAATAATAATTGATTCTTTTACAGGCAAAATTGTCAATTTCTCGGCAACTGCTGATATTACAAACTAATTTTGACATAAATTCCGGTGACAGTGAAAATGTTGAAAGGGTTTCACTTTGACCTAGTCGATAGTGGCATTAGGCATCAAATGATGAAAGAAAATTGAAAATCGAATAATAATTGTTTCTTTTTCATAAAACTAATTTAACATTTTCATTCTCAGCGAAAGTAATGTCATTTTGGCAAAAACTGTAATTTAGCCTTCAAAACAAATATTTATTATTCGTTTAATATTATATTTGATTCCAATGGAAATGTCGATTGGATCACTACGTTCATATAGATGTCAAAAAATTGCTTCTGGCAATTTCCCTTGTCGAGAAATAACCAATTTTGTCAGGATCACTTTTTAAAATATTTTGCCTTTTTACTTTCAGTTTATGGGTTCCAGTTTAATTATTGTCAGATATTTATAATACAAAGTTCATATGTTTCATGGTGTAAATTCTCAACATTTTTATCGATAAAGTATTCTGTCGGCACCGGAAGTGACGTAGTTTTGCCAAAAGTTACAATTTGGACCAGTCTGATACAAATCTGATAGATCAAGAATGCCCCTATAACAGGCGCAAAAAAAATGTCGAACTCAATGTTTTGCATTTTGGTTTTGTGTTTGCGCCATTTTGATATAAATATAAAATAAGCAATTTACAGCTCATTCAGGCTTTTCATATTTTAAAATATTTCTATGTAATGTTCATAAATTTGTAGCATATATCTATACTAAGACAATTTATACCGAAATTAGTTTGTAATCAGAACAGTTAACGAGAAATGAGCAATTTTGCATGAGTCACTTTTCAAGTTATTTTGGCAAGAGTCAATTATTATTGAATTTTCATAAAAGTAACACCATTTGATGCATAAAACAAATGTGCATTATATGAGTTTGAGTAGAATTTAAAATTGACACCGAAAGTGACGCCATTTTGTCAAAAACTATATTTTTAACCTTTAAAACAGATATTTTATTCAAATGAGTCTTATTTGTTATGTTTTAATAGTATGATATTCAATTCCATTCAACAACCCATACGATCATACAGATTTCACAAAATAGTTTCTATTGCGGAAAAAATAGACGATTTTCTGCAAGGCACTTTTAACGGTTTTTGGTCCATAAAATTGTCTATTATTTGATTTTTTTTATAAAATTTGTCAATTTCAAAAATGTATTTTTACCGAAAGTGACAAAAAATCGGCAAATGAGTGTTATTCAATGTTCCTTTAAAAAATTATAATATTTAATTTAATTGCTTCTAACTTCTTCCGTTATTGAGAAGTAACCAATTTTGTCAGGGTCACTTTTAAAAAAAAATTTCGCATATTAATTTCCCATTAGAAAGTTTCATCAGCTAACTTAGCGGTGAGTTAAGTAACCAATTTTGTCAGGATCACTATTTGGACATATATAACACATGGTAAACATTTGTATAAATGGATTTGGTTAATTCTGCTTCCGTTTTATAACACGTGTGCAATACTTATGTGGAAATCTGTTTAACGGTTTCATTGGAACCTGAAGAGAAATGAGTTCAAGGGTGACGTGGCACCAATGCAACCAGTCATTACTGCGTCCAGTTCTAGTTTTAACTTTATACCATAAAATATCCATATTCAATATTATTTTGTAATACTTACTATATGTTTGCCATTCATATTTTGAGTTACGTTTATTAACTATAAACCTATTAGAAACATGGCCAGATGGCCAGTTGTTCCCGTATTTAGTTCCAGCATCCGTATTAGTATAGAGACTGATTATTAGACAGAGGGTGGGAAGGGGGAAGGGGAAGGGGGAGGGGGGCACGGTGGCTAAGACGCTGGCTCGCTAGTCTGGAGGACGAGTGTTCGATCCCTGCATTGGCCTAGAAAGTTCATCCAGATTTTCGAACGTGGTTCCCCCTTTTCAATGATGCATTCAGATTTGGATTTCGATGGGGTTCTTTCGTACTACCAAATGCACAATTCGTACAAAGACTGTAGTATGTATAGCGTTTACCAGGAAGGTCTGAGTTTTCAATGACAGCCGTTTTCAGAATTACCAATACAAGTCAGTAACAGATGGGGCTGGTCAAGAGACACGTTATTATCATCATACTAATTTTATTATCATATTATCAATTTTGAATAACAATGCAATATGTCAAATCATTGCGCATGTGGCTTTCGCATGTGGCCTTTCTATTTATATTTCACTAATTTCCAAATACCATTTACCTTAGAGGAACTGTAATGGATACAACCTTAATAATGAAGGTAATAATAATATTTATATGGTTTAAATTCAGTGAAAAGCATTTATTATGTGTGTATTTTATCTTACTTTCCTTCTTCCCTTTTCGTATTTTCCTCAAATTAGATGACAATGGATTAAAGATATCGATTCCCGACGGTCATCAACTGAAACTCCATCTTCATAATGTTAAGGTAAAATGGTATACACCTCCTACCTTAACTGCCTTAGTCGATCAAATCGTGTACATATGTTTCAGGCGATGTTCGAATTACAAGAAAATCAGTCAAAGTATTTTGTGGTTAATAAATGACATATTCAGATATTGTGCAGGTACAACAATGCGAGTCTCGTAAAACAAATCAAATTATTGTTTCTTTTTATATAACAGGAAATATTGCAAGCTATAAAGTTATCGGTGTCTCAATGGATGAAAATCTCAATTTCAAAACATATCGCTATTAAATCGTGAACTTCAGCAATGTCATTATTTAATTTCAAGAAAAATATATTGTTACCTTGACAGATATTCGTGTTTGAAACTGGTTAATGCTTTGGTAATTTTTCATCTGAACTATACCATCTGTTAAAACACCTAGTTATCTCTCCAAGGAAAACAAAATCTCACAGCAAAAATGATTCAAAAACCGTCGAAATATGCGTGTTCATCTGATGCCCTGAAAGAACATCACATTGCGCTGACTGCTGATAACAAAATTACAAATTACTGCTTCTCGTATATGTGTCCAAATGTATGCTCTTCCAGAAGTACAATGATTTTCCTAATCCCATATTCAACCCTATCTTCAAACAACTAGCCATTATTCTTTGCATCTTCAAAACGTAAAACATTTTAGACAGGCGTTTCGGTGTTGTGAGTCCACGTACATGTAGACCCCCCCCCCCCCCCGCAAAAAAAAGAAACAAAAATAATTAATCATTAGTATACTTGAATGATTAGCCTGGTCCCAATCTTAACCGATATTAAACCTGATCTTCGGCCAGACATTTTTCCCTCCATCAGCAAAACGTAACACATTTGCAGACGGGTTCTTCAATATTGCCTTCCACGTACCTTTAGAAGCTTCCCATATCAATTCATCATTCGTTTGTTATATTTATGTATATGATAACTGATATATTTTACTGACTACACTGTGCCATTGAATGCATCTATTGTAGTATAGGGTGGCGCTGTGTTAAACGTAGTAAACTTCAAGTCTAATGATCCAAATTAATTGATATTGCGAATACAGATAAACAAGAATGGAAAGAGTATACCCCCCTGTTTGAGCGTTGTAATCCTGACACTTGTCACTTTAAACTAAATTGACATTATGAAATTAGATGTAGTAAGATACTGAATTAAGCTAAGTAATTTGAGTTGTGGTAAAGACGTGATTCAGTCTCCTTCCTCCTTCCCCGGGCAGTCAAATTTTAAAACGGCTTTTAAAAGTGAAATTCGCTACATTAATACTTTTCTACATTCCAGTTCAATGGACTTAAAATCCGTTTGAATATTCTCTATAATTCGGATTTTGACGTCAAAGATGAATTTATCAAATGAAAAACTTTTGCGTCAACTTAGTGATGAGAGAGCCATGACGTTTTTGCCCGCCATTCTATATGTTGGGATATTAATGGTAGTGGGCTTGTTTGGCAATAGCCTTGTGTGTTTTATCTTCGCTACAAAAATGAAACCAGGAACTCAGAATATCATGATTATGTGCTTAGCTGCTTCAGATTTACTTGTATGTTCCGTAGGAATGCCAACAGAGATAGCTGATATGCGCTTCGATTATAATTTCGAGTCAGAGTTCGCTTGTAAATTGTTGATATTTGTCAATACCCTTTGTTCAATATGGTCAATTCTTTCGCTGGTCGCCATAGCTGTAAATCGCTATATCAAAGTGTGTAGACCCTTTGGGAGGCAAATGACTTATAAGGGAGCCAAAACGACAGTACTTATTTCTTTTTTAGCCGCAATCTCTTTTTCATGGCCAAAGATCTGTATTAAAGGTATTCGTTCTAAGGATACGGGAATACCAGGACTAACAGGGAAGGAATGCTCCACAAGTGATGCAATGGAAGGGACGATTTATCCGTTAATCTACCAATCAGTTATTTTTGTGTGTTTCGTTTCATTAACCATGGTGTTTATTTTATTATATGCTAAGATTTATAAGAGGGTGAAGAGACAAAAAGAAACCATGGACAAAACTCGAAAGTCTGAAGCAATTACTGGGAAGTCATCAAATCCACAGGGAAACTACACGACCGCAACGTCGACGGAATCGAGGAAGCAAAACCAGATTTTGCCGAAGATATCCTTGCAAACTGATGATTCATTGATAAAGTCAAATGCATCGTCGGTTAATTTGGGAAAGAATAGAAGAGTTTCCATTGAAAACCGGACATTTTCCCGCAGTACAAATATAAGTGACGATCAACATACCGACAATACTCTTATGGAAATGGGCGGTCACGAAACTGTCCATTTCCAGAAGAGCATAACGGCTATTCCTCAAAAACCTAACCACCTGATTGGAGCTGATAGAAACCTTCCCAAGCTAAAAGTAGACTGCGCTAAACGAAAGGCTAAGGAAAAAAATCGCACAACTGCGATTGCTTTTCTGGTGACCATTGTGTTCGTTGTGAGTTATCTCCCTTACCTGTCGATGACCTTCTACATAATCTTCGACAAAGAATTTGACCAACATCTTCACGGATCTTCCCTTGTAGCTTATAACCTGTTCGTACGGTCCTACTTTGTGAACTCTGCTGTTAATCCAATTATTTATGGTCTTCTTAACCTACAGTTCAGTCGAGCAGTGAAGGCTATGTTCAAAAGACCGACTAGTCGGCCGAGCTGAAGTTATGATTGCAGTCAGATTAAACGGTGATTGTGCTAAATAAGATGTTTTTGATATTTTGAATGTTTGTATGCTAAAAATCAGTAACCATGAATGGGAGATCGTTTTAATTTAAAAGTTATATAATTTATCTTTCGTTGTCGTGAATTTCAGCCTCAGTCGATTTTTACTAATTTTACAAATTAGATATAAATGTAATATTTGTATCGGGGTACATCTGAACATGTAAAACACATGGTAACTAATCGAAAACCTGTACACATAATGTAGTCACTGACAGGTCATAAGTCTGTTGGAGTAATCCTTGCCATATCCCGACACTTAGCAGTCCAGTATCACAACGGAACAACCAGTATACAAAACTTTAATATACGGCTGCGATTGCGGTGGGTGTCACGAGCGAGGCAGCGTGCTTTTACTCTTTCTAGAAGACCTGATTCTTCGTTATAGGGTATTAATTTATAATCCCGTTCGGGAAGTTCGCTTTCTGTAAATCTTTAATGGATATATCTATCTGATTGCTCTTTAGGATCTATTCTACATTATTCTACATCAAATTGCTGATTAGGATACAGAAAATTCCACGAAAAGCTTAGAATCTCTTACCCAGTGTCCGGTTTACCCCCAGTTCACAAAGCATTCTCAAGACTTACGAATTTACTCAAAATTGTCCGCCTTATTTTAACTAAAATATAGCCCTTTATAAAACATTTGCCGTTTTAATGTATCAAATACATCAATAAGAAACTATGTCCAAAGTTTTGTTTTTCTAGATCAAAGATATTTCTCTGAGCATGCTTGGTGAACTCGGGGGACTTGTATATAAATATTTGTGGTGAAAACATATTATCAGCTTCCATTTAAAGGTGATTTGGTATTTGCTGACTATAAGTACTAACCGCAATAGATAAAGACTACCGATGTTACGATTAGGCGTTTAGCTTTTGATGAAAGTTTGACGTCATTTTGTTTTCCAAGTAAAAGGGGTGATCCTACTGGGTCTGTATACTGATAGATGGGGATGAAATTTCCTTTCTTTTTCAAATTTAAAGGTGCCTATCCTTAATTACAAAATGAGTTAGTGACGTCCTCAATACTTCTAGATCAGAGGTGTCAAACATGCGTCCCGTGGGCCAGATATAGCCCGCCAAGGGTTTAAATGTGGCCCGTGGAGCAAATTTCAACAAACTTATGTGTCGATAATTGTTAGAAACTAGCGGTAGAAATCATAGATTATTGTTTTCCGGTTTCAGTAAAACTCGGACGTCTGTACTGTATGTCATAGATATCTAAGTTGTATGTAATACGAAATGTATTGCATTAATATGTTACATCCGTACTACCATTAAAGTGGCACTGGGCAATATAACTATACAATTCGGGATGACTGAGTCCAACTCAGGCGATAATCAATGACAACTTACTTCTTAAACTTGTAGAAACATACTAGCCCGTGACAAGTTGTTGTTAGTTAGTTGTATTTTACGTCCGCTTCCACCGAGATGATATCGCCTGAGTTGGACTCAAGGAAACCCAAGGACAGATTCTACCTCCTTGGTACAAGTGGGTACCGTCCATTTATCAACGGTTTCAGTTAAAATATTTCACGCTTTGATCCCGTTACATATGTAACGATTTAGTCAAATAAATCAATAAAAAATTTGTTATCTTGATACTTTTTTATAGCCCATCCCCGGCCAACTAGATGTAAAATTTTAGTTCATGTGGCCCCTGAATCGAAATGAGTTTGACACCCCTGTTCTAGATCATTCATTATGGCGGCGCTAGCCTAAAATACCAAGTTAATCAGATTTGTTTATTTATTGTGACGACATTACCTGTCAGTCGTGTTTCTAGTCTTTCCAATTGGCAATTCTTGTGCCGACAGTGACGTCATACAACCAGGCTTTAATTTCTAATTTCTAAACGTTGGTCCAAGTAGTTGTCATCATTATTATCTATCAACAACGATTTGAAATTTAAAAATCTGAATGTTTTGGATTTTTTCTCCCGAAATATGTAAACTGGATAAGAATTTAAACTAGACCATAAACCAGTTGTGTCAGTTCTACAGTCGATATCTCTTGTTTGACAATTGTCTTATTCTACGGAGCGATCTTTACATAAAATAAAATCTATACAAAAGAACTATATTTATTTATTTGTACATGTAAGAATGGGTTGGGTGATTAATAAAATCTTCTACTCGTCTTTTTGATATTGAAATGAAATGAAATGGGGTTTAACGTCCTACTCTTCTGCGCCTAACCGGGGCTAATTGAAGACGCACATACGCCATACAGTGTGCTATGAGGGAAATTTTGCCCGGGCAGCGGCGCTACGGCCTACTCTTATATCGAATTCCAACTGCCAAGGGATCTTTTACGTGCACGCCAATGTGTACACGGGACCTCGGTTTTTCGCCCCATCCGAACGACTAGGCAGCTGTCCTTGTCAGGCCCTCCGTTCTGCATCACTGACAAGGGGAAACCACGCCGGAAAATCGAGATGAACTTTCTCGGCCAATGCAGGGATCGAACACCCGACCTCCAGGCTAGCGAGCCAGCGCCTTACCCACGTGATCCCCCTTTTTGATATTAAAATTGGTTCGTAGGAGATTCTCTATATAACAACAACCTACGAAATGAAATGGGGTTTAACGTCCTACTGTTCTGCTCCGAACTGGGGTAATAAAGACGGGCATACCCATACAGTGTGCTATGAGGGAAATTTTGCCCGGACAGCGGCACTACGGCCTACTCTTATATCGAATTCCAACTGTCAAGGGATCTTTTACGTGCACGGCAATGTATTCACGGGACCTTAGGTTTTTTTCGTCCCATCCGAAGTGCTCGTAATGCACGAATGCCTAGTCTTGTAGACGCTATTGTCCATATAGTATTGCAAATCCGCCGGCTTTTCGCGTAGCAATCGTGGAATAAGCTTTATCTTGAAGATTTCGACGTTTAATAACAAAAAACAAATGTTGACATTTTTTTCTGAGGAGGTCTTCGTAAAATGGGCCGCCATTATTTGAAAGGTAGCCATTTTGCGATAATATTTCAACTTATTTGTTATATTTAACTGATTTATAACGTTATTGACATAACAAACCGTGATTTGGCACTATGTTAAAGACATGGCCATACTATGAAGACCCACTCAGAAAAATGTCATGATTTGCATTCTATGGTATGGGTTGTCTCTACTGTCACAGTTACCGGTAATAGGGTAAACTTAGACTTCGATGTTCTGACCTACCGGGCCACAAATACTTCAGACATGTTGCTGACAGCCCCGCATGCCTCTGTGATCACATTTTTGAAGATCCTGATCACTACCTCTTGCAATGCTCTTTATATGCAAATGCACGAAAGGAAACCATAGACAAACTACAATACGATCTCAAAAATATTAACTGTCTTCTGTTCGGGTCCTCAACCCACAGTATCGATGTAAACAACAATATTTTTTAACCAAGTCCACAAGTTTATTGATATGTCAAACAGATTTTAATCTCGCTTACTAGTTGTTTAATTTACAATATTAATTTTAAATATACGTAACAATGTAACATAGAGTGTACATTCCCATCCATCTCATTATATATGTATTTACACTTATGTGTTTGTCTTTTAAAACGTGTATATACACCCATTTTGTTCCTTTATTTTAATACTATGTATGTATGTATATTATCTAGGGAGAGGGGTTTTACATAGGCTAAGCCTGTTCCCCAATCCCATTCAGACCGGCGGGACAATTTACCCAATACTACCTGTAGATTCCGAAATCTATTTACTATTAATGAGAGGTAACTACTGTTTTGTAGTAGTCACAGGTGTCAAGTAGTTGTTTTATCAGAAGTGTCTGGTTAATCGGGGAGAAGATTTTCACGTGCGACCCGCCATTTTTGTCGATGTTACGATTTTAATTTATTAAGATAAGATACAAGATTTTTAAGATTTGCAAAGACAAGAAACGGTCAACGTGTTTGTAAGTTATTTACAAGTACATTAATTGTGGTTATTCTGCATTAGTTTAGCTGACTGTCATCTCTTAATTGTTTCAGTGTTGCATCTAAACAAAATCACGTCAAATGCCTAAATTATTCTATTGTAATATTACGTTAATCTGGATAGCATTTAAGTAATTTAACGCCGAAAGAAAAAGTATCTGTAAACCGTCCATATTGACAAATTATTCATTTCTTTTTGATACGTTTAAGCGTTTTGTCAGTTAAGATGTAAAGTGAATTTGATATTTTATGATATGTGTACATTGTTCATATGTATTTTGTAGAAACAGGCTAATGAAGATATGGTACAATAATTTATGTCATTAATAAACGAAGTCAAGTATTGAGAAGAAAATAAGCCTTGTTATCACGTATCTGTAACAATCTACGAGTGGCGGCAACACAAACAGTTTAAACACGACCCATATTAAAGAAAAAAAAACTGAAGATTACCGAAAAGATGTCACAAGATAACACTACACGCGTCAGTATTGAAACCTCCTCAGATGAAGATGAAGATTTGAAGCGCACAAGAGCAGGAACCAATTACGGTTGAAGCTGATATTCATAATTCACAACCTATGGAAGACAAGAGACAACAAGAGCCAAGCACAACTGTCAAAGATAAAAGAATAAAATCATTAGAATTAAAGATAAAGAGATTAAAGTTAGAAGAAGAATTAGCTAAATTACAAGAAGGGGAAGAGATAGGTGTGGAGAGAAAACATGAAAAATCCTCAAACAATGATGAGATAATTGAAATCAACAATCAAGAACAAGGCACTCCATCACAAAGAAATGAAGAAGAATCAAAAAAAAGAAAGGAAGATATCATCAATTTAGATGAAAGATCAACAATGAAAAAGGATGATGGAGTCCCAAGCAAAATTTATGAAACAAATTGTAGATCAGAAACAGAAGAATGCCATGGCTTTAACTTTACCTAGTACAGTGGTACCTGTTTACGACGGCGACTCACTTACCTATATCACTTTCATCAGGTCTTTCGAGAACATAATTGAGAAGAAAACACAGGATGATTCCACCAGATTACACTATTTATTGCAATATACCAATTCCAATTTACAAGATCATCTAAGATACTGTCTAAACATGAACCCAACTGAAGGCTACGAGAAAGCGACGAGATTACTTAAGAAGAAAGCTGGCCAGAATTACAAAATAGCCACAGCACACGTAAATAAAATAACGCAAGGACCACCTATAAGATCAGAAGATGGACCAGCTTTAAACAAATTTGCACAAGATCTATCTTCTTGCATGAATACCCTTCAAGAAATTGGGTATATGAGCAAAGTTGAAAATCCGGATACACTGTTGAAGATTATTGGGAGACTCCCTTATGAGATAAGAAGACGATGAAGAGCCGTTGCCGACAAAATTACTGAAGAACAAGACAGAGAAATCCGAATAAAAGATATTGAAGAATTTGTAGAAAGAGAAGCTAGAGTAACGACACACCCAGTCTTTGGTAATTTAAAACAAGAAGACACAACAAGGAGTCAACCGAAATTTCAAGATTCAACCAGAAAACCCGCAAGGTCCAGCTTTTATGCCAATGTCAATAACCCCCTTCAGCAACCTCATTATCAACGAAGATCACCACTACAACCATCTACAATCTGTATTTATTGTAATTCTAAACTACACAGTCTTATCTCATGTACAAGCTTTAAGAATCTTATCCCCGAAGAAAGAAGAAATAGAGCTATGAGTAAAGGAATCTGCTTCAACTGTCTCGAACATGGCCATCGAGCTAAAGACTGTACAACATTAAATAGATGTGGTGACTGTAATGGTAGACATAATAATTTGCCCTAAATTAGGATGGGCAATAAATGGACCCCTTGGAAGATATGCTTTACAACAAAGAGTCACCTCTAACTTTATCAGGTGTGATAATGACTTAAGTCAACAATTTAAAAATTTCTGTAATCAAGAATTTAATGAATCCATAATAGATATTAAGAAGGAGATGTCACAGGAAGATAAGGAAGCCTTAAATACTATGGAACAGACAGTGAAGAAACAAAATAACCATTATGAAATTGCCGTACCCTGGAGAGAATTCCCCCCATACTTACCTAACAACAAGCCATTAGCAGTACATCGATTGAGTTTATTAAAGAGAAGATTATTAACTGATCCAAACTTATTTCAGAAATATGGAGAGTTTATTGATGATCTGCTTCAGAATGCCGAGAAAGTGGATGAAGAGAAGATGCCAAGATCAGCTGTTCCAAATTGGTATTTACCACACCATCCTGTATTTAACAAACAGAAAATCAGCAAAACTAGAATTGTATTCGACTGTTCGAGCAAATACCATGATACCTCACTCAACAACCATCTACTTCAAGGTCCCAATCTTACCAACACCCTGGTTGGAGTATTGTCAAGATTTCGTCAAGATCACATTGCCCTGGTAGCAGACATCCAAGCCATGTTTCACCAGGTTAAAGTACCCAAAGATCAACGCAACGCATTGAGATTTCTATGGTGGCCCAACAGCGATTTAACATCTGAACCTGAATCCTACCGAATGACTGTCCATTTATTTGGCGCCATTTCTTCGCCTAGTTGCTGTAACTTTGCATTGCTTCAAACCGCTAATGATGATAACCTAAGTCAAGATATTCAAGAATGCATAAGACGTAATTTCTATGTAGACGATTTTCTTCGTTCAACTAAGACCATAGAAGAAGCCAAGGTGATAACCAAGGATTTAAGACAAGCATTAGCTAATGGAGGATTTAGGCTAACCAAATGGATTTCGAATTCGCCAGATGTTATTAAAGATATACCAGAGAGCGAAAGAGCTGCTCCACTTCAACAAGATCACGTCTTTGAAGATGACGTCAATTGTAATAACCAAGTAGAGCGCACTCTAGGAATACGCTGGAATGTCAATACAGATTCCTTTTGTTTCAATATATCCATTAAGCCAAAACAACCAACAAGAAAAGGAATACTGTCCATAATTAGCTCAGTGTTCGACCCATTAGGATTCGTAGCACCCTGTATATTACCAGCCAAAGGCATTTTACAAGATCTGTGTAGACTCAACTATGACAGGAATACACCAATTCCTGATGAATTTCAACTAAGATGGAACAAATGGTTAGTTGACCTGCCTAAGTTATCCAAGTTTAAGATTAAAAGATGTTTCGCCCCTGATGATTATGGTGAAGTTAGTTCCTATCAACTCCATCACATGTCTGATGCCTCAGAAAACGGATATAGCTCTGTTACTTATCTAAGAATGATCAACGACTCAAAGAAGATCCATGTTGTTTTCCTTATAGGAAAATCACGTTTGACTCCATTAAAGAAGCTAACCATCCCCCGATTAGAACTCGCAGCTGCTGCAGTATCCATTAAGTTAGACAAGATGATGAGACAAGAACTTGATGTACCAATAGAGAAGTCCGTTTTCTGGACCGATAGTACGGCGGTGATAAAGTACGTTAACAACGAAACAAGAGATTTCACACGTTTGCGGCGAATAGGATCGCCGCTATCAGGGATGGCTCAGATCCTGCTGATTGGTACTACGTTGATTCCAAGTCAAATCCAGCTGATGATGGATCACGTGGCTTGACGACCAATGAATTTATAAAGGACCAACGATGGATACTGGGGCCGGGTTTCCTACACTTACCTGAAGATCAGTGGCTTGAACAACCCGATTTAAAAAATGATCTGGCTGAAATGGACCCTGAAGTAAAGCTAGAGAAAAAATGTCACATGGTTATAGAGAGAAGTCAGGATGCTGTCAATGAAATATTTAATAAATTCTCATCATGGTTTAAATTGAGAAGATGTATTGCCTATATTCTGCGTTACAAGAAGAATCTATTAAGATACCGTATAATAACCGAAATAACCCAAGACCCGGTAACAATAAGAACAAGACTTGTGTTCAACCACTGTTATTAGATGAAATTCAAGAAGCCGAGAGAGAAATCCTAAGTATAGTACAACGATCAAGTTTTAAAGAAGAGTTAGAATGTTTACGTCGTGAAGAAAGATTAAAGAAGTCTAGTAGTCTTGTTAGATTAGATCTAGTCCTATTAGATGATATGTTAATAAGAGTTGGTGGACGATCGAGAAACTCGACACTAGCATTGGACATCAAACATCCAATTATCCTGCCGAAAAATCATCATGTGAGTGACCTCATCATCCGTCATTACCATCAATTGTCCGGTCACTCTGGTAGAGAATATGTCCTGTCGAAGATTAGAGAAAGATAATGGTTCGTCAAAGCCAATTCAGCTGTACTAAGTATAACGTCAAAATGTTTTGATTGCAGACGAAGACAAGCTCAACCTATGCAACAGAAATTAGCTGATTTACCACAAGACAGAATAACTGCAAGTAAGCCACCGTTAAGCTTCGTCGGTATTGACTATTTTGGCCCATTTATGGTAAAGAGAGGAAGAAGTCAACTAAAGCGGTATGGTTGCATTTTTACGTGTCTGACAGTAAGAGCTATCCATATTGAAATCACTCACAGCATGGACACCGATTCATTTATCAACGCCCTAAGGCGCTTTATAGCTAGAAGAGAACCCCCAGAAAAAATCAGGACTGACAATGGATCAAACTTTGTTGGTGGATCTAAAGAGCTGAATTCAGCTATTAACGAGTGGAACCAAACTAAGATACACAATTTTTTACTACAACACGAGGTTACCTGGATATTCAACACCCCATTAGCAGCGCATCATGGAGGCGTGTGGGAAAGATGTATAAGGACCATAAGAAAGGTTTTGTCTGCACTAATGTCACAACAAAATTTAGATGACGAAGGACTCTCTACGTTAATGTGTGAAGTGGAAAGTATTGTCAATGGAAGACCACTTACGCCAACGTCCGAAGACATTAATGATTTAGAAGCACTTTCACCGAATCATATCCTACTCTTAAGATCCGGCTCTACGTTACCACCCGGTATATTTGTCCAGAAAGATCTTTATGTACGTAAAAGATGGCGACAGGTACAATATATGGCTGACGTTTTCTGGAAGGGATGGAAGTCTGAATATTTGCCACTACTTCAAAAGCGCCAGAAATGTCTTAATCCAGATGATAAAATTAAAGCCGGAGATATTATTTTGTTAGTCGACGAATCAGCCCTTTGGCGAGAATAACAGAAGTGATGCCTGGTAAAGATGGTTTAATCCGATCAGTAAAAGTCAAGACCAAATCTTCTACATTTACAAGACCAATTACTAAATGTGTGATGTTGGAATCAGTGAAGACATTGAACTAATTTGAAGTGAATTAAGCATAGACACTACTGTCTGTTCCAGGCGACACTACGACTCGAAAATTGCTTACTATTTCTTCAATTTTTAATTAAAATGGTTAAAACTTAACGACCTACCTGGAATTGTCACCCCGTTACTTTCTTCGTCGAGCCTTAACGCCTATAAGTTCGATAAAATCCTTTATTCTCTTGTAAATTTCACATTTTTCGACACTAATCAATTTCTCAAAACATAAACATTATCACTGCGCTTGCGTAAGTTGGGTCACTCGTATATCATGTACGGGTATAAGGTATTCCACAAATCGGGTGCATTCGGTTAATAATGCTTAGCGCGGGAGGATTCGCAGGTTTGTTTTGCGGCAGTGCGAGTGTGTGTGCGTATGTGTGTGTGTTTAGGTTTATCGGTATTTAATATTCCTTAGAGATATTCATATTTCTGCATGTCTCCTAAAATATTCCTCACAGAACACTTATTTTCAGCATTAGATGGCATGGTAACCTTTCTGATAAAGTGTAAATATTGTACGATATCTTATAATTTTATAAACATAAATAGTTTTGATTACTGGTATCTATTTTTTTATTTATATTCGCGTTCCACAGGCACACAAGATTTGTTTCAGATATTGTCGTAGATTAGATAAAAAAAAAACGAATCGCAGAAAATATGATTCCTTGAATAATGGATCATCCTTTCATCACATGCATTTGCAAGTGCACGATGATGTGTGCATATAAGAAGGTGCATACTGGGTAAGTGATTATTGTTATTTACAATTTCAAGATGAAGATTACGCGAGATGTGAACCAATGTATCAATCGTTTATTTACTTATTTTGAGAAACAGATTAAAATGAATTTTATAAAAGTTCCAAAAAAAGAGATTGCTTACGTATTGAATATACCCTTAAAATCCGTGTACGGGGCTTTGAAAAATGAATCATCTACAACGCAGGAAAATAAAAAAAGCAAGGTCAACAAATGTTCAACAAAATTAGATAATTTTGACCTGATGACAATAAGAGAGACCATCCATAAACTACACGGCAATGGCCAGTATGTAAGTGCAGTTCATTTAAATATGTTTCACCATTGCTCTTCGACTTTTACACATATGCCATGTTCTGCATTACATAACCTTGATGTAATAATTGTCTATATAATTGAAGGTTTCATTACACATTTTACAACGCCACTTGAGAGAGAAAGATGAACAACTATCAAAAACAACTCTTTATCGGGCAATCAATGAAATGGGATTCAAGTACTACAGAAATCACGGTAAAAGATACGCGAAAGAAACTGTTGATATTGTTGCTGCCCGAAATAGCTATTTAAGAAACCTATGCAAATATAGGCAAGTTTTCCATACGTTCACACGTTTTTAATAATTATTTTATGAAAATATTAGATTAGTCTGTCGAACAAAATTGTATAACTCAATTACTTATTCAAAAGTTGGATATTTTTAGGAGTGAAGGCTATGAAATTATATACCTGGATGAAACATGGTAAATGCTAACCAAGCCATCCATGGAACATGGACAGAAAACAGGAAAGGTAATGACTTTTTTTAATTGCTTTCTTATTACGTATACTTATGCAAGTTTATATTTTTAATGTATTATCTATGGATAGACATATTTTAATCATATGTTATTATATTTATAGGGTCATTGGGCATAATTCTCCCAAACTGCAATGAATGCGATAGATTCATTCCTTCTGGTAAGGGATCAAGACTGATCATCTTAGATGCTGGTTCGGTTGATCGGGGTTACCAGTAAGGCACTGCGAGTTAAACCCAATAGAGATAATTCAAGGTAATACTTAACACTGCAATTTGGACGGCAGTCAAGTTGACGACATTGAAAGATAATAAATCTTGTCTTATCTGTGATGTTAAAAAGGGTTAAAACATTCATTTATGGAAGCCTTTACTACATCTTATAACATTTTAAAGTTTATCCACATTAAATCAAAAATATTTTCATTTTAGCACAAGAAAAGGCCTATGTCGCCCGAAAAAATACCACTTTCAAAATCAAAGACGTTAAACGTCTGTTCCTTTAGGCCAAGGCTAGTGTGACAACTACAGACTGGGCTAAGGCATGTCAACACGTCATAGACAAGGTGGAGGATCGGTTTTAGGAAGCGGGAAGATTGAATGAGGAAGTACCACCAGCCGTATTTTCGTTCGGGAGTGACAGCGAGTTTGGGTGTGAGAGTGAAGATTTGGGCGAGAATGTCAGTGGAGAGAGTGATAGTGAAAAGGTTACTGAGAATATGGATGGTGGTGGTGTTGCGAATGAAGATTCGAGTGATGATGATAAAAATGTGTGTAGTGTATGTGATTGTGAGAACCCACCGGGAAGTGAGTCGGATGCGATTGTGGATTGGGTGGGCTGTGATTTGTGTGAAAGGTGGATGCATGTGAAATGTACAGGGAAAGAGATTGATGTAAGTGCAAGTGTGGTGAAGTGTGTAGATTGTTTGCGTAAATTGTATGATAGATAGCGTGAATGTAGGCCAGACAACTTCTATAATTTATATTGTATATAGTTGGAGCATTTTCTGTGAGTTTGTGTAAATAAATGATTTTGTATAAAACAATTTATTTTCCATTTTCTTGTTTAACAGGTAGACTGGCAGAAATTTAATTTAGTTCACGACGAATCAATATGAATAAATTAAATGTAAAAAAAACACCCGTGGTCTGAACACAAAAACGGAATTACGTGCCCTTGATCTATCAGGAGTTGACCTTGTGTGGCTACTACCCCGTTGCGTTTTCTATCATATTATCGATTGGTTAGGGGCATTTCACAAAATAAAAAAAAACTAAATCAAACAAGAAATAGAGTAGGCTATCTATACTATTCAAAAAAAGTAGGGGATATTTGATTTTTAAGTGTTATTAAAGTCACCTAATGAAACTGACGAAGAAACAAATGACAAAATGAAATGAAGTTCACATTCATCGATTTATTCCAAATGATCGTTAGACTAAGTAAGGCACAGACTGACCATTATAAGGGTAAAATGATACCCGGGGTCAAACAGCAAAGTTACCACAGCATCACAACCAAGTCAGTAACGGGTAAATCCTCCTCTGTTTGCATTGATCCGACGTGGCATACTCCTAATGAGACGTCTAAGGTCATTTTGGTCCAGATTGTCCCATTCCTGTTGCAACGCAGCAGCAAATTCTTGGACATTGGCAGGACGTTGTTGACGTTGACGTAACCTCTGTCCAAACATGTCCCAGACATGCTCGATGGGGGAGAGGTCGGGACTCAGTGCTGGCCAAGGTAATGTGGTGATGTTCTGTTGTTGGAGGTAACCTGTAACGATCCTGGCCCTGTGACATCTTGCGTTGTCATCCTGGAAGATGAAAAGGCGGCCATGACGTCGTGCGAACGGCACAACATGGACTGCCAAGATGTTGTCCCGGTAGTACTGGCCTGTAACACGCCCTGCAACAACATGTAAAGCCGTTCTTCCAGCAACAGTGATGCCTCCCCACACCATAACAGAACCACCCCCAAATCGATCATGTCTGATGACGTTAACGTCTTGGAAGCGCTCGTTTCGACGACGCCACACCCTCCTACGTCTGTCCAAAAAATCAACAGTGAACCTTGACTCATCTGAAAACATCACATTGCTCCAGCGTCGATTATCCCAGTGTTGACGATCCCTACACCAACGACGTCTTGCCTGAATGTGATGATCTCTCAAACAAGGGATCACGCGAGGACGTCGGGCGCGAAGGTGACCCCTATGCAGTCGATTCCGAATCGTCTGGCCACTCACTCTCACACCAGTGTCTGTTTGAAGACGGGCGCTGATCTGATTTGCTGTGATGACACGATTTCTCAAGGCCAAGGTACGGATAAATCGATCCTGGGCTTGAGTTGTCGCCCTTGGTCGACCTGAGCGTGGTCTGTCCTGTACAGATTGTGTATCACGGTATCTGGACCATAGCCTGCTTATGACAGACTGAGAAACATTCATCGTCCGCGCCACAACCGCCTGTGTTGTGCCGATCTGTAGCATGCCAAGGGCACGTAACCTTTCATTTTGGGTAAGCCGACGCATATCAAAATTTGTTTTCTGGTCACTAAAACAATTAAACTGATGTTTCCACCCTGGAATTCAATGCCACAATGACTGTAACATTCAAAGTCAGAGTCGTGCAAATCTTGGGTTGGACCCCCATGATGATCCCAAGCATCACCTGCATTCCATGCGGTAGCTATTGGTGCGTTTGGGCGTCACATGTAACTGGAAATGTTTCTTCTGTTAGGTTCTATAGTGACTTTTTTCGTAGTCATTTGCATATTTTAGTATTATGCCCCCAAAATCAAATATCCCCTACTTTTTTTGAATAGTATATAAAAATATCTTAGGAGCGCCCCCTTTTCAATTGGATTAAAACTTTTAAAAAAGAAAAAAAAACCAAGAAAATAGTATTAAAAGTCGTACAAAGCCAAATAAAAGCGACAGTTATATATCTATTATCCCAAAGCTAGATACTTCTAAATTTCCATGACGTGTCACTACAATATTAGGTCACACTTTGTATGTAGTTTATATCCGAAAGCCACCAGACTGGGGCCGCCAATTTAATATCTAAGGCAGTGGAGCAAACAAGTGTGGTCTGAAACCAAATAGCAAATTCATATATTACCTCCCGTAAATAGCTCATTAAAGCAAGTTATATTCTACTGGGTCGAAACAACTATTTAAACATGCAAGTAGGACGAAACGACCCAAAGTCAAATCCACACCCCTGTTCGATTTGGTTTATTCCAGGTAACTAGGTCAAGCATGGCTGTCTTCAATACCGCGAAGTAAATAAACAACGATTTTTCAAGACAGAAATGTTATATAGCTTGATCTGAAATTAGTTAACGTGCGGTAGAAAGTAAAGAGATGACGACTCCAGGTAGGTCGTTAAGTTTTAACAATTTTAATTAAAAATTGAAGAAATAGCAAGCAATTTTCGAGTCGTAGTGTCGCCTGGAACAGACAGTAATAGACTATCATGACTGTCATAATGATGGCAGTGTTTCAATTAGTAACGATAAAGTAATATTTTTATAATCATTTCAAGTTTAAATTTAATCAAAGTTTATTGAATTACTTATTTATATGTTTAATGTGTTATAACTAGATTTTAAATGTTCCTCATTTAAAGGGGCCGGGTATGTAGATTCCGAAATCTATTTACTATCAATGGGAGGTAACTACTGTTTTGTAGTAGTCACAGATGTCAAGTAGTTGTTTTATCAGAAGTGTAAGTTATTTACAAGTTCATTAATTGTAGTTATTCTGCATTAGATTAGCTGACTGTCATCTCTTAATTGTTTCAGTGTTGCATCTAAACAAAATCACGTCAAATGCCTAAATTATTCTATTGTAATATTACGTTAATCTGGATAGCATTTAAGTAAGAGTCTTGACCTCAAGAACAAGATGAGTAACCTTTTGTCTGTCATTGAGCCCAGTGCAGTGGTTTTGGTTAGTCTCTATTATTCGAATATTAGTTTGGGCGACAAAATTTGAGAATAACTAGGTCATTGGCTAGATTGTACGGTTTTTTACCACTCGGCAAACCTCAACAGATTCCAGTACCCTCCATATAGCCTCAGCAGTATGACGAAGTCCGCCATTGGATACTTTCAAGATTACCAACGGCGTTGACCATGACGACGCCTTTGAAGAATGTTTTATCATAACGTGAGTCTTTTACGTTATCGTGTACAAAATCTACCTTTTTTCAGCCAGAAAGCGCAATAAGGGAGGCAAATAGCTCTAAAATAAGATGTCAACGACTATGAAATTGATTTATAAATTGTCAATTCAGATAAATCAATTCGCATTGTCAGTTCTAACACTCCTACCTTTTTATTGCAAAAATTCTCTCTTCAAGGATCATTTCAATGGTTTTAATTCCTGTTAGTTTATAATGAGGCATGAATTATGGGATTTTTTTTCAAGAAGGGAGGCAACTCTTTCTTGACTTTAGCTTAAAAAAAATTCCATTAATCATGCGTAACCGGGAGGTTTTATTCTTTTCATGTGGTTGATTATCCAGTAAACCTTCGTCAATTGTGGACAACTGACTGAGACCCCCCTACGTTGAAGACTATTTTTTTTTAAACACGAAACAAATATATAGATAATTTGAATGATGCAACATACATTACTTAAAGATGCATTATGTAAGATTAAGATAAAGAGCTGGCTGTTCTTGCTGCAGTAGTTCGAAAATAGATACACTGAAAAATGGGCATACTGAAAATTTTAATCAATTACTTGATTCTGGGGGAAGTTATCAGTGCGCTTTATCATTATACCACTGTCATGATAATGTAAGCTTATGACTGTTTGAAAACGGAGCGCATACGTTTATTATCGTATAACGGCTCTTGACAACAGGGACTAAGTCTCGATTATCCATTTTATCGTGTTGTTTTTTGTTTGTTTTGTTTTTTAATCTCGGGGGCGTTCAAATCCAATTAATTCTCGACCATCCAATGGGCTAGTAGATTTATTATTTGTATAAATGTCTCAATAATAATTTGAAGAATATTTGCAGCCAGTAAAAAAAAGACTTGCAATAGGCAGAATTAACTCGCATATAGTGCATCTTAACAAGATACATCGTGACATCTGATTGAGACCAACTTTCTTGTCATGTACATAAATATCTAAATAAAAATTTAAATAAAAGCCGGACAGGAAGATTTACCTCTTACGTGATCCGTCTATAAAGAGATACTTCCTCGTTGGTTACTCAAATAAATTCTCATCTCATCTCTAGTATACATATATTAGGAGGACTAAATCCAAGTGAATTCAAATCCTATTTCTACAGCAGAGGAAAATGTCATATTATGAGATAATTGTAACCTTCTATTCAGTTCTTAAGGAGAACTAATCCAAGTGATGTCAATGATTTTTAAAAGTAAAATATGGATTATACTGCCCTGGAAAGCGAGAAAAAATATTCGCGGTAGACACAATTGTAACCGTGGAAGAAACTTAAATGAAATTTTCATCTCAGATGACTATGTGGGTGTTCATTTTATGCAGTGAACTTATGCAAGTAGTTTGTATACAATTATATCTGGATTAAGAATCGTCCCTGCTACCATGTGTTGCGCTTTTCCGTAATCTACAAAACATTATTTACGGAACGCAAAGTCAGCGACCAACATTTTTTTTTATATGAAAACTGTTATGTAAACCAAATCTCACCAACCTCCATGATGACGTCTCAAACGAATTCATCCGTTGAAGAACTTTTGCGTCAACTAAGTGACGAGAAGGCCATGGTGCTTTTGCCCGCCATTTTGTATGTTGGGATACTAATGGTGGTGGGTTTTCTAGGCAATGGTCTGGTGTGTTTTATTTTTGTGAGAAAACTGAAACCTGGAACTCAGAATATTATGATTTTGTGCTTGGCAGCTTCAGATTTTCTGGTATGTTCCATAGGAATGCCTACAGAAATAACGGATATGCGCTTCGATTATACCTTTGAGTCCGAGTTCGCTTGTAAATTGTTGAGATTCGTCAATGCCCTTTCGACTATATGGTCAGATTTTACACTAGTCGCCATAGCTGTAGATCGCTATATCAAAGTGTGCAGACCCTTTGGGAGGCAAATGACTGTTCGGGACGCCAAAACGGCTGTACTGGTTTCTTTATTAATTGCTATCTTGCTATCCTGGCCGATGCTCTTTATTTTCGGTACGCGTTCCAAAGATACGGGAATACCAGGATTATTTGGGAAAGATTGTTCCACAAGTGATGCAGTGAAGGGGACCAATTATCCGTTAATATATAACTCGATTCTTTTTGTGTGTTTTGTTTTGGTAACCATCGTTTTCATTGTACTATATGCTAAAATTTATAGGACAGTGAAGAGACAAAAAGTGGTCATGGACAAAGCTCGAAAATATAATGCAAGTACCGAGGAGTATGCAACTTCCGAGAGTGTAAACAGGCTCGATACTTCTGCGGAGTCGGGGAAGCAAAACCAGATTTCCCCGACGATTTTCACACAAACTGCTGATTCATTGATAAAGAATGATGCATCTATGGTTAATTCGAAAGAAGATAAAACAGTTTCCGTTGATCGAACACATTCCCTTACTTCGAAAGTAAGTGTTGATGAACCTACTCTTATGAAAGTGAGCAGTCATTTTACTGTTGATCTCCAAAAAAGCGTAACATCCATTCTTCCACCTACTGACATGCTTGGGGTGGATGCAGAGCGGACAAAGCAAGAAGTCAAGTCATCTAAGAAAAGTCGCAAAGAAAATAAACTTGGGCCAGAAAGTCGCACAACTCTAATTGCTTTTCTGGTGACCATCGTATTCGTACTAAGTTACTTACCCTACCTGGGGATGACTTTCTCCAGTATCTTTAACAAAGGGTATAATCATCATCTTCGCGGACCTTCCCTTGCAGCTTATAACCTGTTCCTACGGTCTTACTTTGTAAACTCTGCTGTTAATCCAATCATCTATGGTCTTCTCAACCCAAAATTCAGTCGAGCAGTAAAGGCTATGTTCAAAGGACCGACTTGTTGTAGACCAAGCAGGATTTATGATCTCGATTAGTATATATAGTGTTTTGGGGCGATAGTATATTGTGTTGCAAGGAAGATATTCTTGAGAATTTGTACAAATACAAACACCAACACCCCATTCAATACGATGAGTAGTGATTGTCATCATGAACTAACCAAACTGACATTCTAGCCGTCGATTTTTTGATTGGCGGCTAGAATTAGGATGCGTCAACTTGTCTTTATAATCTGAGTTAATGTATGATAGAATATTCATAGTGTCATATTAATACAGACACCAATAAAATGATAACAATAGTTTGTCGTTTGTTTATTGTGATTGACCAACAAAGGGTTAAACCCTATGCATTAAGCTTAAAAGTAAATTCCGTGAAGTGCGCTCAAACTTTAGGATCCGCAACCTTGAAAATTATCACCATGTCGTAAAGCTTCCAATACTTGATTTCAAAAGACTGACTTGTTGTAAACCAAGCAGAATTTATGATCTTGGTTAGGATAAATAGTGTTTTGATGTGATATTTTATTTTGCTAATATTCAGATATTCTGAGAATTTGTAAAAAATACAAACACCAAGACCCCATTCAATATGGTGGGTTTTGATTTTCACAATGAAATGACCAAACTGACATTTGATTTGGTTAATTGGCGGTTAGAATGAGGATGCGTCAATCTATATTTACTCCACTTTAATCTTATTCTACAGACGTTCTCTTTCGGACGCGTTTTGTGATGGACGGACAAAGGGTTAAACCTTTTGTATTAAGCTTAAAAAGTAAATTCAGCGAAATGTGCTCAATTTTACGATCCGCAAGCAAAAATATTATCAGCAAACCACGGTCACAAATTTTCTTGAATATGAAAGTAAACTGGAGAATAGTTGGACGGTGTTATGCAAATGTGATTTAACCCCAAATTTGAAGTTTTGAGAAAACACCGAAAATAGAAAATATAACCCATTCAAATAAAGAAAAAACTTCAAAGTTCCAGAAAACTTTTGTTACTTTAGCATCATGAAATACAATATAGGACTAAAATGTTCTAAAATAATAGTTGAAATGTGGAATAGTAACCATGGTAACGCATGAAATGTGATTAGGTCATTTTTGCGTAACTTCCAACCAAAATAAACTTAATTTGCGTAATTTTGCCTCAAAATGATACAACTGATTAAACTAATTATTCATCAATCAACTCCAATTCAAAGTCAATGATTCCTTTAAAGCTATCAATGTCTTTTCTTAAATTTTTGTCACAATCAAAGCCAGTATAAAATTGTGTGCTATCACCAGGAATAATGTGCTTCAAATTTTGGATATCCTACGCACAAAAATTAGAGTGTGGTGAGGTTGTTGTGAAATGCGGGAAAACCCTTTTAAGTGTGAAGGCATTTTCATGTTCTCACTACGCGTACACAATGCCACCGCTACGCTCTTGGCACACACAATTTGTGCCGCGCAGCAACGTCCCCACCGCTCTCAACCACTTTGCTGCCACAGAAGGCCACGCTGACACGACGCTCCAGCCCCATCATTGATACGCTGTTACAATGATTTCACAATGATTAGTGGATCATTGGTCTGTAGGGCAGATACTGAGCCTCATCTTAGGATATCTAAAAAAATAACCTAACTTCACACATAAATCACGACTTCGCTACGATCTAAAATAAAATCTGCCAGATCGTGTCTGAAAGCGGCATGGACGTGGCGAGATCTTTGTGAGCATTGTATCGAGAGGCAGTGAGAGCGGCGACAATGTACTGGAAGCGAAGCGTACTGAGAGCAGAGCGGGATGGGTTGGGGTCATAGCGAGGACTTTGTTTTGTGTGAAGGGGACTATACGAAGAACGTAATAGAGGCATGAGAGCGTAGCACGATCAGACTGGTCTAGAGGGGGCTTGATGAGATTTTTGTCAACGTACTAAGAGTGCCACCATGGGCGTTCCATCCAACTCTGTACGCCGTTAACACGCATTCCTTTCCATCGTGGATCTGGCTGATTTTTTAAGTCAAAGCAAGGTTGTGGTGTATGTGTGAAGGGAGTACACCTCTCCCATGAGTCACCAGAAGTAAAAAGGCACTGTTGGCGCTTTAATGCGCATTTTAAATCACCAAAGTCGGAATCATTGGGAATAAAATTGCGACCCAATACGCTAAACCAAAAATGGACAGTGTGAAGAGAAAGATCTAACCATCAACATAATTACCAGAAAAATGATCTTACCCACATATAGCTTTATGCAAAATGCATCTTCGGAAATAACAGTGATCTAACCCACTTAGATCAGACTTGTTTAATATGCAAAAGGAGTATTTTCTAATGGTGTTCTATTAAACAATCTATAAATAACTTTGTTCTATTAATAGATATCGGTTAGAACAATATTGCATATCAATCGTCGTGAATTCTTTATTCGAAACATGTACTACAACGATTTTTGGAAATTTGAAGGTTAGAACACATTTGCATAACACCGCCCAGTGGTAATATACAATCAAACTATTCTGAATTTCAATATGGTTCGTCCTTATGAATACTCAACAAAGTATTAACAAATGGTTGCGAACTTTCTTCTGCATCGCGCCCGTGAGCTTTAAGTAACAATCAAAAAAGATAACTCGGCAAAACGCGCTCATAAATTACATCTGAACATTTTGAAACTCGATAGAGTTCTTTCAATGAGTATTCTCTTCAAGTTACAAAACCAATCTTCTGTATCGTGTTCACCAAATTTCATTAACATGTATGTAAACGGTTGGTTAAGAATCTCACTCAGTTTTGAAAAGTACGTGGGCGTTTTAAACAGTCCTGAGTGGAGAAACACGTTATTATCAATTTTGAATACCATAACTAAATATGTCAAATGAATGCACATGTGGCCTTTCAACTTATTAGGTTTAAATTCAGTGAAAAGCATTTTTTGTGTGCATTGTATCTTACTTTCCTTCTTCCCTTTTTAGTATTTTCCGCAAATTTGATGACAATGGATCATAATGGCAAGGTACAACGATATACGTACGCCTGATACCTTAACGGTTTGAGTCATCAAATCGTGTTTGAATTTTCCAAACGATGTTAAGATTACGAAAACATCAATCAAACCATGGCCTAGTAACCCAGATACATTAAAGTTTTAATTACACTGTGTTTTTGGAGTCAATAAATTCCATATTCAGATACATAGAGAATCTCCTACCAGTCTTTTTTTATATCAAAAAATATCACCACAAGTTGATAAAGTAACGTGTTGATATTTTTTGATATCAAAAAAGACCAGTAGGAGATTTTATTTATCACCCAATCTCTTCTTAGTACATGCACAAATAGATAAATATAATTCTTTGCTGTACATTACACTTTTACTGAACATTACGGCATAGTGATACATCATTTTTTGACAGCAATTCAACCATTGCAAAGTCCTTTATATTGACCCAGTGTTTCCATTAAGGTCAATTGAATAACAATAGTTCATTTTTAATTTTAAAAAAATTTACTTTTAATAAGAAATGAACTGTTCTTTGAAAATAAAAAAGTAGTTCCTTTTCAACTGACCAATCAAATTCATGTAAAGTGAAATATATCACACAAGCGATATCTACTGTAGAATGTATTATTGGGTGATAAATTTCCGTTACAACAAAGCGAGTCCCGAAAACAAATCAAATTTTTGTTTCTTTTCATATCACAGAAACTATTGCAAACCGTAAGTTCCAGGTGTCTCAATGGATGCAAATCTTTGTCCGAAAACATATCGCAATTGAATCAGCAACGTCATTATTTAATATTTCAAGAAAATATATCGCTACCTTGACATGGATTCGTGTTTGAAACTAGTTAAGGCTTTGGTGGGGGGGGGGAGGCATCTGGACTATAGCATCTGCCCATCAGTTCAGAAACACCAAGTTACCTCTCCAAGGAAAACAAACACTCAAAGCAAAATTGATTGAAGGACAGTCGCAGTATACATGTACGTGCTCATCTGTTTCCCTCATCTGTTTCTAATATACTTGAATGATTTGCCTGATCCAAATCCCAACCGATATTTAACCTGATCTTCAGCCAGACATTATTCCCTCCATCAGCAAAACGTAAAACATTTGCAGACAGGTTCTTCGGTGTTGCATCCACGTAGGTTTAGAACCATCCCATATTAATTAATCATTCGTTTATATTTATGCGTATGATTAATGAAATATTTTACTAATTGCCTATGTTTGAACTCAAACGATCCAAACAAGAATTGAAAGAGCCTACCTACCCTTTTTATTTTGACGTACACAACATTTTACATTTCACTTATGACATTTTACATTTGATTTTCTAGCATATTTATGATTACATGCTTTATAAGAAAAAGAAAAATCCTTATTGTTTATAGTTGAAAGAAATGTTTCGCTATCAAACAGTAACCTAAATGCTAAAAATAGACTATACTTTCAATTTATCTTATTTGTCGAAGGTTCGGATTAGCCATACCAATCGCGAGATTTCGTTGCGGCCAAGGTCGTCCAGCGAAGTTCTTATAGTGCCTGGTTGATCTCGCCAACGTTTCCGTTTATGTTAACAAGTCGCGTGATATTCTACTATTTGCATAATATCAAAGCTAGTGCTATTAGATGGGGGAATGGTTAGCACGTGCACGCTGTATCTTAAGGCCTGTCATTGAGTCAACTGGCGTGGTTTCGAATCCCCGGTTGTACGTGACAAGGAGTAGGGTCGCCTGTCCATCCTCGTGGGTTTTCTCCGGGTCCTCCGGTTTCCTCCCACTGCGCAAGGGAATTATTAAAATAAAATTAAACCATATGTTAGTCCCGAAATGGCCTAGTTTGTGTCGAGTAGACGTTAAACCCCATTTCTCTCTCTCTTGCCACATCTGACACAAATTTATAATAATCCAGCACTATTTTCATGTAGAATTTAGCGATCCAAAAACACAATCAAAATTCATTTGAAATGATCCGTCATTATGAAAGTCACGTCTGCGCGCAGCAAATAATCCAAATTTAGGAATAGAAAGTTACCGTGAACGAAAATTCTTGCTGTACTTAAAGTAATGGACAAAACTGTCAATGGTGATACCATTAAAATTTATGTATTCAACATACATAAAAAATCATTACATAAATTCAATTAAAACTAATTGAAGTACAGCAAGAATTTTCGTTCACGGTAAAATTCCATTCCTAAATTTGGAATATTAGCTGAGCGCAGCTATGAACCGGTCTGGGAAGGCGTCGGTTTGATAATGGCCAACCGAATTCAAATGAATGTTGTTTATGTTCTTGTAGCGCACAAATAGTGTTGGATTGTTATAAATTTGTGTCGGTAAGGATTCCAAAATAGCCTTAGAACCGAGATCGGGGAAAAGCCTTATTTTCATATTAGTTGTCATTAGGACGCGCCAGTAACGAAGAGAGAACACTAGGGGCCTCTAAGACTTCGAGGTATTTTGACTATATCATTACCGGTATTAGGACTTTGTGCATTGTACTTTTTATATGCTCACATGAAAATGTGGGCGTATATTGTCGTCGTCCCTGTCCGTCCGGACGTACGTCCACAATTTTTGTGGACACTCTACAGGTCACCATTTTTATCCGATTTCAACGAAATTTGAAATATAGGTTTATCTCCCTAAGATCTCGGTTCCTATCGATATTGGCATGTATCGGAACGTAACTTCATAGATTATGGCCCCTGATTGTACGAAAAATCGCGTCTTTAAATTGTGGACCCTATGGAGGTCACAATTTGTATCTGATTTTGTTGAAATTTGAAATGTTAGTTTATAACCCAAAGATATTAGTTCCTTTCGATATTCGCGCATATCGTTCCGTAACTTCTTGAATTATGGCCCTTGACTGATTGTACGAAAAATCACGTTTTTTTTTAGCTTGTGGACCCTATGGAGGTCACAATTATTTCGCGATTTTAAAAACCGTTTGAATATATCACCGTTACACCTTAATGACAGTTGAGTTCGAATTTCGTGAAAATCGGACCAAAACTGCCGAAGAAAATGGCCGGCCCTCGAACGCAAACATATGTAAAAATATGGTATATCAAGGTTATGGACCCTCTAGAGCTCACAATTTTGATCCGATTTTGATGAAACTTGAAATACATGTTTATAACCCAAAGATATTGGTTCCTTTTGATATTTGCGCATATCGGATCGTAACTTCCTGAATTATGGCCATTGACTGTATAAATTGCGTTTTTAGCTTGTGGTTCCTCTAGAGGTCACAATTATTATCTGATTTAATAAACCGTTTGAACATATCACCGTTACAACGTAATTATGGTTGAGTTCGAATTTCGTGAAAATCGGACCAACACTGACGGACAAAATGGTCAAATTTGACACTTCAAGGAAGGTTGGATGAAAACTTCCGCTTGCTGGTTTATCCTGTCCATGATTGCTTTCCTATCGGTTCTTGCATAAGATTTACTGTTTAGCGTATCTTTACTAAAGTGTGTTACGTTTAATTTGATCGGGAGACGTGTTCGTCGACCTAAACGTCAACCCTGCAAGAATTAGCCGTGGCACTGCAAGAGGAGTGGGTCAGATTGCCCCAATTCGTGATTGGACGGTTGATTAGGAGCATGCCACGACGAATTGCTGAATGTCTGAGGATTAGTGGAGCAATTACTCATTATTAATACAAAAATCAAAAACGTCCATTTCCAATTTTGACAGTGTATCTCTTTGCGAGTGAAATGGGGCCGTCAGATAAGCCGCCCATATGAACTGTTTATGTTCACGTGTAGGCAACTGGCCTGTTATTAACATACACTGGTTACCTCTAATAAAAACAGCAGTGTAGTTCCGCAGTTTTGTATTGTTTCTGAATATCCCCTACTTTTTTTTGAAGAGTATATTATCTGAGTTCGACTGTCATGGAAATCGGATCAAACTGCCAGACAAAATGGCCGCCCGTCTACGCAAATAGTGTAAACATCTGGTATATCAAGGTTGTGGACCCTCCAGAGCTCACAATTTTGATCCGACTTTGATGAAACTTCTGCTTTACAAAAACGTTCGAATATATCACCGTTACACCGAAATGTTGGTTGAGTTCGAATTTCGTGAAAATGGGACGAAAACTGCCAGACAAAATGGCCCTCGCTCTACGCAAATAGTGTAAACATCTGGTATATCAAGGTTGTGGACCCTCTAAGAGGTCACAATTTTGATCCGATTTTAATGAAACTTAAAATGCATGATTATAACCCAAAGATCTTGGTTCCTGTCGATATTCGCACATATCTGATGTCTAGAGGTCACAATTATTATCCGATTTAATAAACCGTGTGAACATAACACCGTTACACCGTAATGATGGTTGAGTTCGAATTTCGTGAAAATCGGACCAAAACTGACGGACAAAATGGCCGCCCCTCGTATAACGCAAATGGTGTAAATATGTGGTATATCAAGGTTGTGAACCCTCTAGAGGTCACAATTTTGATCTGATTTTAATGAAACTTGAAATGCATGGTTAAAACCCAAAGATCTTGATTCCTGTCTATATTCGCACATATCTGATCGTACCTGAATTATGACCCTTGATGTTACAAAAAATCGCTTTTTGTTTAACTTGTTCACTATCCATCTCTTGAAAAAATGTGGGCGTATCCTGCCTGACAGCCGCTGGTTAGATAATATAATCAATCGAAAAGACATTTTAGTAGAGCATTTAATATTGGCTGCCCGAAGATCTTGGTTCCTGTCGATATTCGCACATATCTGATCGCACCTGAATTATGGCCCTTGATGTTATAAAAAAATCGCTTTTTGTTTAGCTTGTTCTCTATCCATCTCTTGAAAAATGTGAGCGTATCCTGCCTGGCAGCCGCTGGTTAGATAATATAATCAATCGAAAAGACATTTTAGTAGAGCATTAAATATTGGCAGCGACACCCTTCCATATTTTTCGAATAACGTTGCCACCAAGAACAAGAGCAAATATAAGACGAGTAACACTTTGGGGGTGGCCGAATGGTTTAACGAGTCCGCGTTAGACTTGAGGCCTGTCATTGAGTCAAGTGGCGTGGTTTCGAAAGCTCATCTTCATAATGTGAAGGTAACACGAAATACGTTTGATACGTTAATAGAATTAGTCGACCAAATCGTACAAATATTATTCGATCGATTGTAGAAAGGATGACAGACATTACTCATTTATTAAAAATATTGGATACCAGACGCCCATCTTTTCACGGTAAGATAACATCGAATTTGGTTTAAAATGACCAGTAAGTCGTGTTTGCAATGTCGAAGACATTCTCCACACAAGTCTCGCTATTCAGCATTTGACTCTGCCTACACCTCGCGGATAACACTGGTTGAGCGAGAGGTCATTGGTCACTTGATTTCTAATGATGAAAATGGCATCTGCCAGAAAAGTTCCTGGCGTTGTAAACACTTACTACCCCTCCGGAAGAAAACAGTCTAATTTTGCATGTTTCGTATGTAAATTTATTAGGCCTTACGATCGCGTTATAAAGGTACACAGATCCACGTGTAGTATACTCTAAAATGAGCACAGCGACATGTGCAGTTGATATTTACGATCATTTAACCCCATAATCTTACGCGAAAGAGTTCCCTGTATATTTGTAAATGTGGTCCGTCCTTATGAATACTCAACAAAGTATTAATACATAGATTGCGAACATTCTTCTGCATCGCACCCGTGAGCTTTAAAGGGATTTTCCCGAATTTCAGAGAATCTGAGAATTACAAGTTCGTGTACGTATGAATTTTAAACGCCAAAATATAGAGGAATTGTGTATTTACCTTGTCTGAAAAGTTCAGTTCAAAATATTGATTCGTTTGGACGTGAACGTCAAAACCGCTTATCCAAGCACTAGCATTTTTAAATAGTTCGGGTCAAACTTTTCGTTGGCCACTTGATAAGCGCGACTATATTCGGTACCTATTCTAAACTTAATCAATAGAGAGCACTAAATTGTGATTCAATCGGGTCAAACTGAAAGCGAGAGTTTGGTGTCTTAAGTCTTATTCAATTCATCATGGATAACACTCGAAAGCGTCAAAGAGAACGAACAGTTATAGATACTGCACAGAAAAGAAGAAAGCAATAGTTCATGCGATGCTACACAGCACAGAAAAAGACGAATGTGTGTATTTATGTGGAAAAGTAGCGAGATGGAAATTGGAATGATTTCAACAAAGCCAACTTCACGAAGACGTTGCCAATATGTAATGAAGCAATAAAAACTTTTAAACCGGTATGATATTATATATTTTATTGTAGGAATCACCTGTAAATTAGTAGTATTATCTTTTTGGAATCATCAATTTTTATTAGAGACGTATGTAGGCCTACTCACAGCTTTCCTTTTTAACAATTTATTTATTTTCTTTCTTTTTTTTAGTAATATTACATCTATACTATAGTTTCATTCAGTTAGTTTTTGTTGGCTCTGTTCGAAAGAAAAAATAAAAGGGCCAAGAATATTTTCAATTTATTATTCTGTGTAAGTTACCTTCCCATTTATTTCTATGCTTATGTACTGAACTATAGGCCTACCAGTACATGATGTAAACATAGGAAAAAATAAACATCAAATACAAAGACTTATTTATTTTACAGGCACACAGGAAATATATTGAGTCATTCCATGCCAGTAAGTTCCAGGTAATTACAACCAATACAGACCTGCAATTGTAGTTCAAACTAGGCCTAGTAGTTATGATGATTTATCATGATTTTCAAGTTCGGCTGGGTGACCGAATGGTTGAGGATCAGAAATGAAATGGGGGTTTAACATCCTACTGATGAAGTCTGACATATGCTACAGTGTGCTATGGGGGGGGGGGGATTTTTCCTAGGCAGCAGCACTATGGCCTACTCTTGCGTTGAATTAGACTGTCTGTCATTGAGTCCATTTGTGTGATTGCAATAAAAACCTATGCGCAAGCGAATTATTGAAATAAAATTGAACCATGTAAGTCCTAGTTAGACCTAGTTTGTGTTGAGTGGACATTAGACCCTCTTGTTTCACGTTCCTTCTCTAAAAAGTACTCTTTTAAATTGAAAGAAAGATGTTTCACATCAACAATAATAATTTATTTGACATTATTTTGCAGTCCAAAGGGTTACCATGCAAAATGTTTGTTGGTAACAGTTGATTTTAATTTGCATGCAAATCGTGAACCACTAAAAGGAGCTGACAGAAACATTAGGTTAGTTTTCCCCTTACTTATGTAATAACATTCAACAATACCTAATAAATGACCCGTCCCACAGTCATGTAAGAAACTAATTGGTCCATTTTAACCATGGAACAAATGTGTTTATAAAATATGAGAAAACATCAAATTATTGTGTCTCATCTCTGCACAATCAAACTGTGATTTTGGAGCTGGCTCAAGAACCTTGGGGTCCTAGAAAGTTTTTCTGCATTATCAATCCTGGTTTTCTAAGGTCAGCAATAAAGGACCGGGGGGGGGGGGGGGTATGTGTATACCATTAGCAGCATGATACTGTTCTGACAATTTCTCACATATAACACTGCATGACATATGCCCATTTCCTTTAATCTTTTTAATTTATTTATTTTTCAGATATAAAACAAATACTCAAAAAGATCGGCAACTTGTCAGCGGTACCTTTAATCTGGGGCAGTCATACCCAGACCCAGCTGATCCAACGAGAATACAAAGATCCCCCTCCACAAGTCCACCAACTCTAGAAGATACATGTATTGTGAAGAAACAGACCACAAAATTTTAAGAATATTACAGAATATAATATATACTGACCAAAATTAAATATACACAATATAAAGCAGGAATATGTTGTAATAGCATCAATGTTTATTAAACATGCATTATGCAAGAAGTAAATGTGCCTATTGCAGGTCTTTCTTTAGGTCTGAAATGTTATATAAACTACATGTATTAATTAGACATTTATTATAATCAACTTTTGATGTCATCTGAGGTGTCCGATTTTCATTGGATTTGAATCTGATCTGCTGTTCACCGTCTGTTGATTAAACGCAACAATGGATAATCAAGACTTTGTTTATTATCATGACAGCTGCAATAACAATGACAATCGAAGCTACAGTCATTTTTAAACAAAGGTTTTCTCGGCGGTAACAATGACAATTTAGGCTACCGTCATTTTTACAATAAGGTTTTCTCGGCTTATAGTGAAGCAATTTGACTGAAATTCTCAGCATATTCCATTTACATCATCTTGTTTTAACTATAATAGTTAAGGCTGTGCAAAAATATCGATATAATCGATAATCGGTAGAAGTTATTTAGCGATACGATAATCGATATTGAAATTCAAATATCGATTATCGGTATATTTACCTTCTGACGACAAGTTACGGTCACTTTCGCATGACTGAACTTGCCGTAGTCTGGCATTAGCAGACGAATGAATGAATACACAACGTCAACACAACTATTTCCCCCCTCTGCTTACAAACTGGCACATTTTAAATATATATTATTGTAAAAAAACTAAACTTTATGATTAAATACATTATTTTAATATTTTCGTTGTTTTTGTTGTTATTACTAGTTGAAACTAAAATAGGTCACGCACTTTGTGAACAATGACAATCGCACGTGATATATAGTAAAATTAGAATTATCTCCCTTCTTTGTTGATTTGTAGAGAAATCGTCTGCTTTCACGATAAAACTAATTGTATTATTAATGATCAACTCCGCTTTTATTACTAAATCATGTCAGATACAGCCCATACAAAACACGTTTTTGACTTCCAGGGAAAATATCTATATCTCTCGTAATTTCGTGGAAGAATTCTACTTTGGTTTTCATCTGAATTAACCAATCATAAAATTTCTACTTTGAAAGCCCGTAATTATTTTTTTATTGTCCAATCAATAGACGCCTTCTATTTTATTTTATTCTATTAGTAGTAACACTGTGTGATCGCCAGTCACTTGCAAAGAGAAACCATGTATTGTCTTTGTATTTATCGGAGATAAAAAAAGGTTCAAATGAATCAAGAACATAACTTAGAATAATACTCAAGTTAGTCCTACATTTAGCAACTAATTATTTTACATTAATTGATTTTTTTACGTACATCGGCACAGTATTAGACTAGGATAATAACACTACTGTAACTCGATCAACACAAATAACAGGTCGGTAAAGTTCGGATTTTTCCGGAAAAATGATAATCGATTATTATCGATAATCGCTGACAAATTCTTGCCGATAATCGATATTGAAATTTCATATCGATTCCCAGCCTTAATAATAGTGAGAACTGCCAGATCTTTATCTAATCCACCATAATGTATCTTTAACTAATAGAAAAAAATGTTTTGTTTGATAATTTGGGTAGATCTTTTGAACAGTGCTCTTTCATTCATGGTTATGTCCATTTGTCAGGATACCACCTCTTTACTTTGCAGACTATACAGTTTGATATTACTTGTCTGATTATCTCTTCCAAGTCGACTCTGCCTCCAAAACTGACGGTAGACAGCAAGGCGAAACCTTTTCTGTTCATCTGGCACCCTAACAAAATGTCATCTCTTGTTTGTAATGCGATCTAAACCCCCTCAATACTGATCTATTTCCTGAAATTAAAATGTTAAAATATGTAAAAATGTATTATAGTTTTATATAACTATTAGTTGTTTATTGTCAAATATTTTTTTTGTATATTGTAAACAGAGTTTGTCCTGAATGTAAATATTAAGAGTCTCTGAGTAAATCAGTTGTTGATGTGAAAATTATTTGGTTGTAATCAAATCACAAGTTACCATAAAGAAATAGTGAAATCACCGGTATTCCAACTATAAAAAGTTAACACTGCATGAAGTTTTAGATTTTATACTTGACATCTACTTACCGGTCTGAGAGATAAGCAATTTTCAGGCAAAAGTTTATAGCTATAGCATAATTTTTTGTCTGTGGTGGTGGAGACGGGACTGGTGTGTCTCTAGCTGCAATAGTCAAACTGTCACAAATTTTAAGCCTGGTTGTCTTTCTATTATGACAACCAGCAAATCTATTCTTTTTTTTATCATCCAGCTGTGATATTAACATCTGTAAATATTAAATGTAATCTTGATGTAATGAAATATTTTTTTTTGTAATTATATAATAAATTAGCTCACATGACAGCCAAAGAATTGAAAAGATTGTTTTTATACAAATTTGCATGCCATACAAAATGTTAATGATATGACTTGTCAGTTATCTGTTTGTCGTCATTGGCACTTTAAACAAAACCATTCTGGGTTTGTAACAGGAGCTACACAACCCCCTCATCTACAGTAAGCATAATACAGCATAAGGGTTGTAGTAAAGAAATTACTGTTATTTATACCTTCAATCCATCAATTCTCTGTGATCTCAACCTTGCCACCCTTTTTTCTGTGGTCTCTGTGACATCTCTTGGATGCCTTGAGACAACACGTCTGTGCACAGTTTTCCTACGCTTTGATGGAGAGGAAGGATCTGTAAGATGGGTCAGTCGTAGCCTTTTCTGGTGTTGGCAAATCCGGCAAACTTTTAATATCAGAACTTGATAGTGGTGTAGGAATAGTGGTGCGTGGATCACTGGATGTGTCAGCTACTAAGCATAAAATATCGATAGATTTTCCCACTCTTACTGCCTCTACATAGCTTTTTCTAGACAATTCTGAAGAAAACAAAACATTCAAAACTTGTGAAAATATCAACAAAAATCATTCTAAGGATATTGTCATTTGGTTTATAAATTTCATTGAGTTTAAAACAAATATACACATTGCAATACATAATTACTTTCAACGAAAAATAGTCTTTATTATTTGGTAGTTTTTAGTTTGGTCAAAAAATTTCATAAAGAATGAAGACATATCGTATCACAAGTCCTGCATGTCCATTGATCACACTTGCCTGTTCTTCACTGCCCTACTATATACACTTTACAGTTTACACGCTTCTCAACCATTTTGAATGACAGTTTTTCAATTGACAAAAATTACCAGCCATTCCTTTTATAAATACGGGACTACCTGCTATCACTATAAACCATTCTATCTTCCAAATTACAAAGAATCCATTCTGTATTTTAGTATACAATGTATCATTTGCAGGTGAAAAGTCCAGCCATTTAGTAGGCCTAGTATCTATTTGATCACACGAAAATATAAAAACAACAACCCATCCTATAATTCCACGGCATATACAAATGGTGTTTAGTTGTGGTTATGTCTATAATATCCATATTTAGCACATAATCAACACAGAGCCATGAACGGCTAAGACTCATTGTCACCAGACTAGAATAAACAAACTGAAAGTAACACGGAAATGTCACTGCGGACGCGCTGTTATCCAGGCACTTCTGTATAATGCAGACAGGACACAAGTCTTCACACACGGAGCGATACCGACGATTGGAAGTTTTTTGAAAACGTATCACATGGCTTGAGGCAGTTGCTCGGATCTAAGTTAGAGGTTATTAAGGCCTTTTCACACACAATTAAGCAGTTTTATAGCCCAAAATCCATCTGGGAATATCCCTTTAAATTTAGTGAAATGCATTTTTTGTGTGCATTGTATCTTACTTTCCTTCTTCGCTTTTTCGTATTTTCCTCAAGTTTGATGACAATGGATGATAACGGTAAGGTACACCGAAATACGCCTGATACCTTAACGGTTTTAGTCGATCAAATCGTGTAGATATTTTTCAAACGATGTTAAAATTACGAAAACATCAATCAAACCATGGCCTAGTAACCCAGATACATTAAAGTTTTAATTACACTGTTTTTGGAGTCAATAAATTCCATATTCAGATACATTTCCGTTACAACAAAGCGAGTCCCGAAAACAAATCAAATTTTTGTTTCCTTTATATCACAGAAATTATTGCAAGCTTATAAGTTCCAAGGGCCTGTTTACGAAATTTTAACTAAGATAAGATCCAAATTTTAGTAATTTGATTGGATAATATTAGATTGGTTTTAGTGCTTAGCCAATCAAAACTGAAGTATCTACTAAAATTTGGATTTTATCTTAAGTTAAAATTTCGTGAAACAGGGCCCAGGTGTCTCAATGGATGCAAATCTTTGCCTGAAAACATATCACAATTGAATCAGCAATGTCATTATTTAACTTCAAGAAAATATATCGCTACCTTGACAGGGATTTGTGTTTGAAACTGGTTAATGCTTTGGGTTTGGTTTGGGGTTTTTTCATCGTGACTATAGCATATGCCCATCTGTTCAAAAACACCAAGTTACCTCTCCAAGGAAAACAAACACTCACAGCAAAGTTGATTGAAGGACAGTCGGAATATACGTGCTCATCTGTTGCCCTCATACTTGAATAATTTGCCAGATCCCAATCCCAACCGATATTCAACCTGATCTTCAGCCAGACATTATTCCCTCCATCAGCAAAACGTAAAACATTTGCAGACAGGTTCTTCGGTGTTGCGACCACGCACGGTTAGAACCTTCCCATATTAATTAATCATTCGTTTCTTATATTTATGAATATGATAAATAAAATATTTTACTAATTGCACTATGGCATTAAATGCAGCTATTGTAGTAATAGGCGGTGCTATGTTTGAACTCAAACGATCCAAACTAAGAATGGAAAGAGCCTACCTCCCTTGCTTGTGCATTGCAATACTAACGCTCGTCAGTGGCATAAACGGGATTGGGTCTCCGTCCTCATTGTAAAAAGAGTTGTAAATAATTTTCTGATATACAACATTTCTTACGGAAAACTAATCCAGGCGAATTCAGAGTTTTAAAAACTAAAATATGGATTCCGGTGTCCTGGAAAAGGTCATCACAGGATAACACAATGTTTACAAAACACTACACTATACCAGTATTTAGAGGATGCCGAAGTTTTGGCTAGAGATTTAGAGACTTTACAAGATTAATCGTGTAAAAGATGCTTAAAACACATAAAGATATACCTACATTGAACGTGAAATACAGTTCAATGTGGACTTAAAATCCGTTTGAATATTCTCTAGAATTCGACTTTTGAGATCTGAAATGAATTTATCCAATGGGGAACTGTTGCGTCAACTTACTGACGAGAAGGACATGAAGCTTTTGCCCGCCATTTTGTATGTTGGGATTTTAATGGTGGTTGGCTTGCTTGGCAATGGTCTGGTGTGATTTACCTTCGCTAACAAAAAATTAAACCAGGAACTCAGAATAGCATGATTATGTGCTTAGCTGCTTCAGATCTACTTATATGTTTCGTAGGAATGCCTACAGAAATAGCTGATATGCGCTTCGATTATAATTTCGAGTCGCTGGTCGCCAATGCTGTAGATCGCTATATCAAAGTGTGTAGACCCTTTGGAAGGCAAATAACTCGTCAGGCAGCCAAAACGACAGTACTTTTTTTTTAGCCGCAACTAAAGTTATTCGTTCCAAGGATACGCGAATACCAGGACTAATTGGGAAAGAATGCTCCATAAATGATGCTATGAAAGGGACCAGTTATCCCTTAATCTATAAATCAGTTCTTTTTGTGTGTTTCGTTCCATTAACCATCGGGTGCATTGTACTATATGCTAAGATTTATAGGAAGGTGAAGGGACAAGAACAGATCATGGACAAAGCTCGAAAATCTAAAACAATAACTGGGAAGTCTTCAAATCCACAAAGAGTCTACACGACCTCAACTTCTTAGAATCGGGGAAGCAAAATCAGAATTTCCCGAGGATATCCGTACAAACTGATGATTCAGGGATAAAGCCGGATGCAATGTGGGTGAATCTTGGAGAAGGTAAATCAATTTCCATTTAAAACCGGACGGATTCCCGTAAATCAGTTATAAGTAAGGATGAACATACCGATATGGAAATGAACGGTCCCGGAACTGTTGATTTCCAAAAGAGCATAACAGCCGTTCCCGTAAAAACTAATCACATGTTTGGAGCTGGTAGAAACTCGCACAACTGTAATTGCTTTTTTGATGACCATCGTGTTCGTTGTGAGTTATCTACCCTACCTGGCGATGACCTTCTACATAATCTTCGACAAAGAATTCGAACGGCGTCTTCGCGGATCATACCTTATAGCTTATAACCTGTTCGCACGGTCCTACTTTGTGAACTCTGCTGTTAATCAAATTATCTATGGGCTTCTCAACCTACAGTTCAGTCGAGCAATGAAGGATATGTCCAAAAGACCGACTATTCGGCCGAGCTGAATTTATTATTGAAGTTTTATGATTAGACGGCGATTGTGCTAAATAAGACGCTTCTAATATTTTGATGTATGTGATAAATAGAAACTATGAATGGAAGATCGTTTTAATTTGAAAAGAATATAATTTATCTGTCATTGTCGTGAATTTCAGCCTCATATTTATAACAATATTTTTACTAATTTTACAAATAATATATAAAAATAATATTTTTACCGGAACATATCGTGCATTTATTCATTTGTTCCTTTATTAATTCATTCATTCATATAATTTCCAATGTGTTGTTTTAATAACTTATTTAAATTTCAATAGATTTCTTTTAATACCTAAAGCCTAATTTTGTAACTTGGTAGCTGAGGGTGGACAGCCAACTCATTAATAGTTTAGACTGTATGATATCGTAATCCTTATAATTTCTATTATTTATAATTATTGTCTTTGATGTTTTATGGTTACCTACGATCGTTAATTGTGTGTATTTTATTTAAACCTGTTACAGTATCACAACTGGACAAAAGTCTAATATACGGCTGTGACTGTGGTGGGTGTTGCAAGTGATGCAGTATGCTTTTACTGGAAATATCAAATTGGTGTATGTTATATTATACATTTTACTTGTGTGTTGATTTGAGACAGGCGCGTGCCAAAAGGATGTGGGAGGCGAGCTCGCGCAGTGTGTTTTCTGCTACATTCGCCTCAATAACGTCGAGCAAACTCCTCCCTAATCCGACACAAGTATGCACCTAAATGAGCAGACATAGTGTCTCACAGCTTCTGCTTTTATCAAATTCCTAGACACGCTTCTGTTTAGGTGCACTACTTCATAACCCCCATCTTCAATAGAAGGCTTGGTCTCGCTTTAACTACGTACATCTTATCAAGGCCTTCACGTAATACCTTGCATATTTCGGCAAAATTTTGGTTGAGCACAAGCCCAGCTTGTTAGCCTATCAGATTCCTTGATCGTCGCGAATACCAAGTCTCGCGCTCTCAAGCTAAAATGTCTACCTGTGATAATCATTCAATGTCAAGGTTTCCGTGGAGGTCGCTATGTCACAACCTCTGATTGGACGCTACTGCTCACGTTTCTGTAGATAACATAGCTAAAGTTCGGGAATTGTGAAGTAAACAAGTAACTTCCAGATGTTGTAAAACTCGCAGTCGTTGCTTCAGGAACATGCATAACTCCCGACTTAAACAATAAGCACGACGGCCTTATCCACGAATATTAGAATCTCATAAAGTTATGTTCCCACGGGCATTATGGGTCGTCTGCTCAGCCCTCTAACCTTATTTTGATCAGATAGTATGATATCACTGCATGTACAACATTTCTTCGCGCTGCCTGCTAATAGCACTTGTCTTTTACCACTTTAAATCAATTGTCAGCTATTTGTGAAAGAAACTGCAAGAAGACAACAACCTCTTCCGCTGTAGAATCATGTTTTCCTGTTATCTGCTGGCACTGATTATTTGGTTAGATTTAAAAATAAGACATGGTTTTCATATGCTTTCACAGTAAAAAGATATATATTGTTTCAATTCAATATAATGTTTAAAAAATAACAACAAGTATGCGTTAAATTTAATAACAAGTTTATTAGTTTATTTTGTTTGTTTTGTTTTATAAATAATACAACACAGAATTTGAATGAGCAAACAAAAATAATATATAATAAAATGATCTAATTCTCAGTTAAACATATAAGTAAAATTCAAATATTAGAGTAAAAACACTAAAAATTAAATTTTTGGTTAGTACTTTCATTGTTATCAAACGTTTGATAACGACGAAAGTACTAGCAGTGACAATGACAATCAACCTACCAGGTTCAATCCAATTCGAAACTTTATGTTGACCATGATCATACCGGTTACCAGGTTCAATCCAATTCGAAACTTTATGTTGACCATGATCATACCGGTTATCACATATACATGCAAAATTCATTAAGCGTCTGCTTCCACACATGGTGTTATCGCAGTTTAGCTCCCTTAATGAAATAAAATGGTGTTTAACGTCCTACTCTTCTGCTCCAAATTGGGCTAATGAATACGGGCATACGCCATACAGTGTGCTATGAGGGAAATTTTGCCCGGACAGCGGCACTACGGCCTACTCTTATATCGAATTCCAACTGTCAAGGGATCTTTTACGTGCACGCCATTGTGTACACGGGACCTCGGTTTTTCGTACCATCCGAACGACTAGACAGTGTCCTTGTCAGACCCTCCATCCTGCAGCTCCTTTACATCAAAGATACATGGGAAGTTCATTTAGCGTCTGTTTCCACACAGTCGACTAGTATTAGTCTTAATAACACAGTTTAAAGTCCGCCTCCATACATGGTGATATCGTAGACATTTAATAAATGAAATGAAATGAAATGTGGTTTAACGTCCTACTGTTCTGCTCCTAAACTGGGCTAATGAAGACGGGCATACGCCTTACAGTGTGCTATGAGGGAAATTTGGCCCGGGCAGCGGCGCTACGGCCTACCCTTATATCGAATTCCAAATGCCAAGCGATCTTTTACGTGCACGCCAATGTGTACACGGGACTAGACAGCTGTCCTTGTCAGGCCCTCCGTCCTGCATCACTGACAAGGGGAAACCAGCGTCTTACCCACTTAGCCACGTGATTCCCCAGACATTAATAATATTCCCAAGTATGTTACTGTCTAGTTAGAATGCCGCTCACGGAAATATTTGGAAAGTTATATAATCCATGAAACACTTTGATTTTATTTTATTTTTCTTTGCAACAAGTTTTATAATCACTCAATTCGGATTTTAATGGTAAAGGGCTGATAAGTAATATTAAGTATGGAAGCCTGTAACTACCATTGGTAATTTCTACTTTTCGTCCCTTCAGAACGCGACAGTTGAACAGTCAGGCCAAATTTGAGGCGACAGCACGCTTTACAAGACAAAAAAAATCGACTCGAAAATAAGAAATAAACACACCGCAATAATAGCGCCCCTCGTTTTGTCTGACTTCTACTTTTCAACTTGCATTTTGACTTGTGCAGCGTGACTTTTGTCACATTTTTGTATTTATTCATGTCAGTAAGACACGTATACCAAGCCAAAATGCAACTCGAAAAGTAGAAATTCGGAAATTAACACACCGCGATATTAACGACCTATCATTTTGGCTTGATGTCGCGCTGTCGACTTTTCTAGTTTCGCTAGGTCACACTTGAATACGTGCAATCATGGCCAAATGGATAATACTTTTTACATAAAAATATCCTATTTTCGAGTCGATTTTGGCTTGTATAGCAGGCTGTCGTCTCACATTTTGTCGTATCTTCTACTTTTCGACTTCCACGTTCTGAAGGGGCGGAAAGTAGAAATTACGATTGGTAGTTATCGGCTTCCATAGATAACTCGTTTCGTCGTCGTAGCATGACAAATTATGTTAAACTCTATGAATAAAGAAATACTGGTATTGTAATAGAAAGACAGTTGACGTATTATCAAATATTACTAAATGGACAAGGAAGAAAAATACCTTTAGCTTATGAAACCAATTGGCTGTTGCTAAATACATAATACATCAACTAATGTAAATTGATACGAATCGGGAATATCGTGCACACCTCCCTACCAGACACCCCACTGACTTTCTTTATGCTTGTATATATTTTTTAAAACATCAACACAATAAAATAAATTTGAGTCTAGACCACAAAAATCCATAATAATAAATTCTTAATCTGTAAAATGCCATTTATAATGGTGAATTTTAGAAGAGTGGTCCTTTAATCTGTCGAAAACGTTAGAAACAATATGGCACAGGAAATGAAATGAGGGTTAACTTCCTGCTCTGCTGTTCTAAGCCTCCTGGGCTAAAGAAGACGGGCATACGCCATGCAGTGTGATATGAGGGAAAGTTTGACCGAACAGCGGCGCTAAGGCCTACTTTAAGCAAAACAATAGAACACATAGTCCATTAAAATGGCATATTCAATCAAATTAAATACAACATTGATACATTTAAAAGTTAAGCCAATGATGATGAGGATGGTGCCGATTGTGATGATCAAATGGTACATGACTATGGCACATATAATTGAATTAAATACAACATTGATATATTTAAAAGTTAGGCCCTTCTATAACGATGATGATGATTATTGTGCCGATTATGATGATCATATAGTACATGACTATGGTACATATGATGGAATTAAATACAACATTGATATAGTTAAAGATGATATTTAACATATCGTAAACACATTAAATACACTGTCTATACTTCTATACCCATATAAAACTTCCTGCATGATTCACAAATATACACAATAATAAACACACAGGTTTTACTATATCAATTCTATATACCTCAAATTATGCTAAGTCACTTCCTGATCAATGATTCACAAATGTACACAAATCCCTTCACGATTTAATGGGACATTCTGCTTTAGGTTTGCCCACCGCTAAAATATGATTAAGATTAGAATAGATAGGAAGCAATTCTTTGAGCTTTTGTCGTTATGTGTCACATTATAGTTTTACTTCTTTTAAAGAAGATACTAATATTAGTATAAATGGAAGTCACTTTTTTTTCAATTCCCGTTTCTAGCGAAATATAGATGTCTTGACATCCTGTGCTTAACTTTAGTGGTACAAGGTGAAGGCCATGGTCAAACTTGTACATGTTTTGTGATTTTGCTTTTTTGAAGCAACTATCCCTTTAACGGATAAATGTCTTGGGTCTGGTTACGATGATTGTCTTTTACACAAACAACATTTAGTGAGTCTTTTGATTAAACAAACGCATTCGTGGCGGAATTTTACGTTCATGGTAGCGTAAACCACAGGATGGGCCACAGGGTTTACAAAGAACGATCGAAGAAAAATGTTGAACGCGACCAACTCGGCATCTTCTAAATGATAATCGAAATCCTTCTTGATATTTTTCATTAGCGCTAAGCCAAGATGTGGAAGAAAACTTAGGAAAAACACTGAAGTCACCGTAAAGGCGATAATGGTTGATTTTGAAGTCCTGCGACCATTCCGAAGGTTGCCGGTGCTAAAGCTAAGTGCAGTAGTTAAATCGCCTGGATGGGTGTCCTCGCAGGTACTGACTTGAAACTTAAAAGTTTTTGGTGGCTGATGTCCATGATCACTACTTGACGTGTGGCTCAAAAGACGGCCTCTTTCACGAAAAACTTGACTTCTAAAAGCTTTCCGCTGCGAAACTCTCCATATTAAACCATACAATATACCTAAGATGATGACGAAGGACACAAAAACGACTAACAACAAAACTTCATAAATAATTGGGAAAAGGGAGTCCTTCATGGCGTCACTTGTGGAACAATCAGATCCCAGCAGACCCGGGACATGCGTCCAGGCCGATCGCGTGCCATAGATCAAAAATGCCGGGACTGTGAACACAATGGATAGGGCAACAGACAGAAATATTAACTTGCGTGCCAAATGTGGTATAATTTGTTTTTTCAATGGACGACATACTTTGAGATATCGATCGATGGCTATTAGAAGCAATACTTGATTGGAAGCCATGATGGGAAACGCGACCCATGATCGCATGAACTTGCACAAAATGGAAGATTCAAACGTAAAGAAATATCTTAAATCGAAAATCTCAAACGGCATGGCAATGGATGACGTCATCAAATCAAAACAAGCTAACGCTAAAAATAGTGTTGTTTGTGTTGTGGCTTTAAATTTTCGCGAAAAGATGTAAATCACCAATGAATTTCCTACAATGGCAAACAACATCATGCAGCCAATCAGAATCATCGCCGGAAGCAAAAGGTGCGCACGCTCATCATTTATAATTTGAAGTTGATTGCTGATATTTTGTCTTATTTCCTCGCTCTGTGTAGTCGTGTATTTTAACGTTGTGCTGTATGAATTAATGGCTAGTGTCCTGTAAGGGTTCTCCATTTTTAGACCATTAATGATAATAAATGTATTTACTAAAGTTCATTCAATAATGTACACTAGCAAGATATATCCACCTTTATCACCTTGCCAACAAAGTTTTGTAGATATTGTTGTATTGTCACTTATGTGTCAATGCTTACATCGCATTTGTGACCCACCTTTTAATCACATAAGATTCAATAGCAATACTGTCGGTCTTATCCCATTTCTCACAGGTCCGTATTACCAACAGTACGGACATTAATCCAGGCGGATTGTGGTAACACAACTTCTGTAGATTTAGTGCACATATTTTAAATAATAGTTATTTCGCCGTATGAAGTATTTTCCGATAAAAATGTTGTAACAGTATTTCAATACTTTTGAATAAAATAAACAGAGCGTGTTTACTGTTAATAATATATTTGCTTAGTTGTTACTCTAGCAAGGAAGATGGCTATTAAAGTGTTCGCCACTGATCCAGCGCTATACAAAGTGGAGCGTTAAATGAATTATTATTGCATTTCATTGCAAATGGTTTGCATCAATCAGAACCTGACGACGTAATTCGAAAGATCATTTGGTAACCGGAGCCTTGACGACGAGTGCAGGCTTTTAAGAGCAAATGCATATTACCCTTATCTGCACACAATTGAACAATCTGTCAGTCAAGTTACACAAAATTTTAATTCCACTCTGAACGTAATAACACCCATTATATTACACTTGTGTTTAAATCTTCATGCGTTTGAGCAATAATTATCTTGAAATGTAGTTCATATAAAGCAGTACATGTTTAATCCAAGTTCCAACTATCGCTCCAATTAGTTATAATTATCGATTGATGTCGCACACGATGCAGGGTATGCAACACTTGCTAGAACACCCAATACCACCCCGTGTTATGTTTTATTAAATCAGTTATTCAACGATTTGCAGAACACCTGATAACACCACGCGTTTTTCCACGTTTGTATTTCATCAGTTGTCCCAGTAAACAAGTTTCCAAAACACCTGATACCACTTCCCATTTATGTCAATGTTCAGGTAGCTAATGTTTTTGGTTGTACCATTGTATTTGCTTCATCCGAGAAACTCACTAGTTACCAGAACTATGTCTCCACTTCTCTTAATAATAATGTATGAAAAATATTCACAAGTAGTTCATAATATCAAATCACGAGTTCGGCCAATTTTTAATGTCAATCAAAGTTCAAATATAAACTGCAAAATGTCCCACGCTTAGGTCTGTACGTGCGATGATAGTCTTACTTTCTCAGAAACGACTCTCCGAGTTACTACCTGATTTTGACGGATTAACCGTGTTAAATATTGCTGATTTACCCAGCATTTTGACTCATCTTTCGATGACTTCCCACAGTTGAGCATTTATCCCACGACAAAATCATTTAATACTCCAGAATCTGAAATATAAAAAGATATTTATATTTCTTAACTGAATAGACAGGATGTTATTAGAGAAAAATCAGGGTTATTCAATTGATCTATTGTATATTAGTCGGCAAATGACGCATATGTCAATGTCATAATAGTGGTGAATAACCATGGGTCATAATTTACATCCAGCAAGTCACGCTACTGTAAGGAAAGTTACGCTAATGTAATTCAAGGTCGGACCTTGATTTGATCAGGTCCCTATGAATAATACAAACACTAATATTATTATATCAACTACAGAAGCAGTAGTTGATGTTTTGCATTAATTAACTATGTGATGATTTGGCAATTTATACTTTTATTTTTGCTGGTCATTATATTACACTTAGCAAATATGTTTACGCTTTGTAGTATATATAATTTACCCGTTTTGAATCTATAATGCTATTTTTGTGGTTATTACAAATATTATAATTACAGATAAACATGCGTGAGATAACCTACCTTTAAAATGTAAGCAAAACGGAAATTATGTATGTAAGGTGGATGACACATTTCACTTATTCATCACAATAATATATAGGTGAAAAAAAAACGGATGTTGGGTGCAAACACAACTAGGTCATTTATAGACTAACATAACGAATGGATGTTGGCTAAAACATAACTAGATCATGGGTAAACGGTGGATGGGGTTAATAACCTTAATGCTTCAAGCCAGAGAGAGAGAAATGGGGTTTAACGTCCACTCGACACAAACTAGGTCATTTCGGGACTAACATATGGTTTTTAATTTTATTTACATAATTCGCTTGCGCGTAGTGGTCTTTAGCAGTGGGAGGAAACCGGAGGACCCGGAAAAAACCCACGAGGTTGGACAGGCGACCCTACTCCTTGCCACGTACAACCGGGGATTCGAAACCACGCCAGTCGACTCAATGACATACTTTATGATACAGCGCGCGCACGCTAACCATTCAGCCATCCACCCCCCCCCCCCCCCCGCTTCAAGCCAGATTTGACACAAATCCATTAAAGGCTGTAGCCTCACAGGGTTTTTCGAAGGGGTTGGAGGTGGGGGGGCGTAACTCTGAAAAGCTGAATAGCACTAGTGTTAACCCATTTTTTTTAAATCTATAAAAACTATAACCTTCACTGCACCCGCAAGGTTTTCGGAAAAGGGAGATGGAAAGTTACAGAACGCTGAATGTTGATTGAGTTCGTCCTATAATGATTACAATGCTTCACAACAAATTGAAGAAAAATTAGTCAGAAAGTGTAGCCTCCATCGCGTTCACACGCCAGTTTTTGACAGACCGAGGGGCCAGTGGTGAGGGTGACCGCATAATGCACCCACACTGAAATGTGTGTGTATAAAAATGTACCATAACTGTTCATCATCAAACATTTAGCATTCCATCTGATCGACTGGTGATTTTTCTCACATCTGAAATATATTAATGCACATGTACATATATTCAAGGTTGAGAATTCAATGGAAATCACGTCGAAAATATCGAGGCCAGTGGCAAAATTCGCGCGTAGGCGAAAGGAAGTAACTCGTATTTTATTGCAACTAAGATCCCCTAATCGGTGTTGAAAATTTGTCAAAATATTTTAGGGCATCGTTTTGTTTGCATGTCACTTCTTTGACCTTTGAGGTTAAACCTCTTGCAACCCTTCTCATAATCGAGCGTACAAACTGCTTTATTGTGGTGAACGTACACCCTGTATTTCTATGACGTAAACAGTGACGCTAAGACTGGTATGTAAAAAAGTTTTTTACTTGGTTCATAAAATCAACCTACGATTAAGGGCAGATAATTTGAATTCGTGAACAACTCGTGAATGGACCCAGGGGTTAGTGAAGTAGAACGTAACGATACCACTGGGGATACTGAGGATGGGCCAGTGGAGGCTTGTCAGAGAGCAACTGGTGAATGCTTTGATTTTATCCCAACGCAAGAAAAACGTTGCACGTCTCCCAATCATGCGTTTGATATATGCTTCGTTTACACTGCCAGGTTTTGTTAATAAATCGTTAAGTTGTTTGAGTCGTTCGATTAGGTAATTTGGAATGAAAATCCTAATGTTGAATTTGGATCAGCTGACAATATTGTTTACAGGGTAAACTGTTACACCCCACCTACTTCTTCCCAGATAAAATCTGGAAATCGATCTGGGTGGTTTCCAGCTTTCTAATATTAGAGAATGGCATGACACTTTAACAAGTTGAGAATTGTGCCCAATCAGTATTCCGTGTACAGTTCAACGACATTGTTTGCCCCCTGACCACCATCGTGACAGTAGTAAATTTATCAAGACACTTTAGCAACCTTTTAATTACAGAAATAAATTTGTGTTATCTTAAAAATGAATAATATGTTGTTATCATTATTATTAGTTCAAATCCATCGCAGAAAAATCAATGATGTATTAAGCACTCCAATGGAGATTATCTCGGACTACCGAGACGTGGACAGGCTTGACCATATTATAATATGGCTAATAAAATGTCAAGGCTTTTAAAGATACATTATGGGAGATAAGATAAAGAGATGGCAGTTCTCGCTATAATAGTTAAAAACTAGATAGTGTAAAGGTAATTTGCTAAAAATTTCAGTCAAATTGATCCACTATGAGCCGAGAAAGAAACCGGTGAAATTTTTGCATAGTCTCGGTTATCATTACTAAAATCATTAATATAAACAGCATAGTCTCGATTATCCACTTTTTCTGATTTAATTATCTTTGGCCGTTAGCGGCATATAGGAATTTAATCCAGCCTACATCGAAGGCTAGCCTTGACATCGAGAGTTTATTATGGTCTGGATAAGTTAATTAATGTCTAATTGATAATTTAGATAACATTTCAGGCCTAAAGAAAGACTTGTAATAAGCAGATTTTGCTCTTGCATAATGCATGTTTAATATCGTTTGACTGTATCTTTAACAATAAACTAACATCCGGTCACTCTATAATTTCCCGGAGAAGAATATGTTTCTCACGATACTTGGATATGAATTGATTTAAGGTAGAGTGATAACACCGACATCAATGGTCAGCAAACAATAATCTAATATCCGTCAATAAGTTTTCCGCAACTACGTGATTTCAGACACATGTATTATTGAAAATCATATATAGGATACAATATACTCAATGATAGCGTGTTTACACACACGCACACCCACACACACATAACACATAGTTGATTCCAATAATTCCAGGGAGAGAGAGAGAAAAAGGGGGTGGGGGAGGGTCACCGTACATCATTATCGAAAAGTTAATTCCAATAGGAGAGAGCAGGAACGTTATTACTGTATCCATCAGTCGTTTTAATATTACGACTATCTGATTCCGTTCGTATATGGAAATCGGAATGTCAATAATCAAACACTTCTAGAGATGAAAGAGAATTGAACATGTAATATTTGGATGGCAATTTATCAAAGTTTTATTAGTGAAAGGAGCATAACTGATGTCGACACAGATATAACATTATATTATGTTATATTTGACAAAATGGCGCCTCTCTGATTGATAGGGCTTTTTCCCCGCTCTATACAATATTGAAATAATAATTAAGCTTCCGTCTCTAAATCCTTACGAAAATCATAGTGGTGAACGGGGTCGAAAATGCATAAATTCATGAAAATGTGGCGTATAAAAAGATACTATTCCAGAATGAAACCCCCTGGGAGGCACACAAACAAGCGCACATCCTACTAAATTTTATTTTTAACTTTTCTCGGTTTGCTTAAATAGAAATAAAGTTGAGCAATGAACTACCGCTATCTATCATAGGTTACATCATATCATAATCATTACATTGAAAAAGTATCGTATCTCCGGAGTTGTGTATGTAACGCAATTAAAAAAGATAAGTTGCCAGTTACCCGGGCCGATAGTTTAAAATGATAGATCTTAAATACATTTTGGGAAGTGAGAATGATAAAATTAATTCATGAGACGGAATTACAACCAAATTCCCTCTCGTGTAGCTGAATAATGCCAACAATGTTTATACAATCAAAATATCTCTCAACCCTTAAACACCATTGTCGCCTTTTTGGGTCGTGTTAGGGCCTAAAATAACGTGCCTTGGGGCACGGACGTGCTTCGAATTGAAATATCTGTGCTTTGAAAATAAGAAAACCTTGCTCTGAAAAAATTGGTGCAGTGCCCTTAAAAAATAAACGTAAGTTAGCGATGCCACTTGATCCCTAATGAGTGTTTCCTTTTGTGGTGGGCAGTTGCACTAATTATAACAGATCAGATCAGACCAGCTGGCATTCGATCGACTCCCTGACCAGTCAGATTTTTCATTAGGCTTAGTATCCGATCCGCTGCGTCCTTGACTGTCATTTAACTTTCACTATGAAAATGTTTTAACGTTTTTCTTGAGAAACTTTAAACGAATTTTTGGTATTATCTGCGATTTTAAGTATTGACATCACTCCTCAGATTTTTTTATATTTTGTACCCTTGTTACTGACAGAATTTGAGTTTTGATGTTGATGTGATGATAGAATTTGAATTATAATTCAAATGATATCGCAACAAAAATGTTGGGTTATCTTCCTAGTGCTGAGTTTTTATGCGAAAAGAGAGCTGTGCATAGCCAAATAAACTCCAAACAGTGACAACGTCGCTCAGAATAAAGCAATTTGAATGTAAATTTCAATATACGAATTTTGAATAATCTATTTTGAAGGTATTATAGCAAGAACGGCTAGTTATTTGTCTAAATCTTACATAATGCACCTATAACGATATTTCTGGTCATGGTTATGTAAATACAAACTAGTCAGCTGTCAATCATATTTAGCGGCTCTTATTTCAAATAACTTGTACACTATTTACAATACGGCTTTACTATAAAGCTAAAAGCAAACACGGAATCATGGTCGGATTAAGCTGATGCAGCGTCTGTGTTATAAAACATGGAAGTCGAGTGTTTCAGCTAATAAATCGAGTTCAGGTTTTGTGCAGCTTGCATCGCCTAGATACCACATTAAA